ACTTAAGAGAGTGGGTCTCATGTTAAGTTAATCTTTATTTACCACAAAAAAAAATCAGAGAAGAACCTGATATGTAGCAAGTGTTCAATAAATGAAGAATCTTAGTTTAAAAAAACATAATAGGAAAGCACTGTCAGAGAAAATACATTGGTGAGTGGTTAAAGATACAAGGTGTCAACAGCGAAGTGATAATGTCCACTACAAAAAACACCACCCCCATAAGAGGAGCGATTCATTGGGGAAATGTTCATTCATTAGAGAAAAGGAAGATGAGAAAGATGGGAAGTCATTTAGGAAATGGCAAATTGTTGCATAAACTGTAATGCAAGCCCTGCCAGGCACGCCTTGCATCCTCAGTGAAGCCTGCAAAAGTCACAAAGTCACACAGACACCTAAGAGAGGAAAACACAAAAGAGCTAAGACAAAGAAAATGTGTACCATGACCCAGAGAAACTTGCTAAAATCATGATGATTCTATATTATCTATAGCATCTCAAAAGAGGTTTTGTGCGTGGTATACTATATAATATGCATACTTGCTAAATATTCCTCTGAAATGCTAAAGAAAGGTATATCTGAGTGTTGAAGTTCAACTCATAATGGTTTTTACAAGATGACAAAGGAACATATTTTCAAGATATTGGGTAGTGAAAATCTTATTAAGCAAGACAAAAAAAGTACTAACCTTTTTTATAAATGAAAAGAAAAAGGTGATATAAATTTGACCACACTAAAGTTAAGCACTTTGGGTAAGAAAAAGCAGAGTGGCTGATTTTATGCCGTAACTTGTCCAAAAACATCTTACAAAAGCATGTGGAGGATGAAGCTCAACCCACACTACAATTGTCAGGTCAGAAAGCCTTGTGTAATTTGTACAAAGATACCCTGTGTACTATCTGGTATCTACTTCTTTGATCAGAAGATGCCATAAAAGTAAAAAGAGAAATGACATATTTGTATATGACATTTACAAATAAATTTAACCAGCAAAAAACCAGTATCTAGAATACATAAAAAACTACAAATCAGTAAAAAAAAAAAAGATAGACAACTTAATAGTAAGATAGGCAAAAGATCTAAACAGTAGTTTCAAAAACTAAGCATACAAAAAATATATTAACTCAAACCTCTCACATACAGATATCCAAGTTGTACACTGCACAGTCTCACCATATCTATCATGTAGACATAGATTTAGATATGTATTATGACCATTTCCCAGTAAATGTCAATATATATTCTCATATAACATTAGTGATATTATCATCACAACATGTTTGAAAAACAATTTTCCATTATCTAGTAAAGTTGATGATAAGCATATGCTTTGACACACAACCATGTCTCCTTAGGCACATACACAGCAAAAAATGTAAAAAAAAAAATACATGTACAAAACTATTGTTTTGTAATGGCATTGTTCCTACTTATGAAAAACTAGAAATAAGATAAATGTCCCTCAACAATACTATACATAAACGCATTTGGTACATTCATACACTGGAATGCTATTAAAAATTATATAAACTACAGTCACATAAAAAATGAGTAAATTTTGCTGGAGATTTAGCTCAGTGGCACAAGCACCTGCCTGGCAAGTGCAAGTTTATGTGTTTGATCCCCAGTACCAAAAAAGGAGTAGATTCTGCAAAAATAATACTGATTTATATTTGATTTTTCTATTGTAACTCTAGGACAGAAAAATGAGGTAAAAAAACAACGTATCATGATGTTTATAATAATGTGAAAATGAAACATTATTATAACACTGATTTCATATTTGCTGCACAGAGGAAATGGAAATACCACATTGTAAGGATCTCATACTATGTGGGAAGTTGACATGATGTGGCTTGAAGATGGATATGTTAATGTGTGCTATAAAACCCCAAAACAACCACTGAAATAACACAGAAAGGAACAGACAGTTTCTTCTGGGTTTCTCCTTTGAGCCCCTGGAAATTACTCTCTTCTGGGAGCCTCCTGAGGCCCCTCCCCTGGAGCCAGAAGCATGATTATCTATCATCCATTCCCCTCCTCTGCCTCAGAGATCAGTTCCTTGGAGCTGTGCACTGACCTCACCTCTCCCCTCTTCAGAGGCAAAATCAATACCACAGCTGACCGGCCCAGTTGGAGACCACCACGGACTGCCTCGGTGCACGGTGAGGAGCAAAGAGATTTGCAGGGAATTTGGAGGCAGATAAGCCTGAGAGTGGAACTGAATTCCACCTTTCATCAGTGACAAATTTAAGTTCATATTCCAGCCCTGTCATTTTATACCTAAGATAATTTAAAAACTTAACTTCTCTAAACCTCAGCATCTTCATCTAATACTGGGTTGGCAAATAGTATCTATCTCAGAAGAAATGTTAGGTGGGAAACACTTGGAACCATTCTATGGCTGACAGGCAGAAAGTGCTGAATAAGTACTAGCACTTAATACTGCTGCTAAGATTAATGCTTAAACCCTACCGGGCACCGTGGTGCACACTTGTAATTTCAGTGGCTCAGAGGTGAGGAAAAAGAATCTCAAGTTTGAGGCCAGCTTGGGCAATAATCCTGTCTCAAAAATAATACAATACAATACAATACACAGCACTAGCAAGGTAGCTCAGTGGCCTAGCATGCATGACGAGCCCTAGGTTTACTCCCCAATACAGCCAAAAAAATTTTTCAGCTTGAAGTCTCTCCAATGCCAAAGTGGGGAGGAGTTTACACCATGATAGTTGAACAGGGAAAAGTCCCTAGAAGACCTAGATTTGAGGGTTGACGGTTTTTTTGCTGTGTGAGACTAAGCAAATCACTTGAGGTTTCTGAGCCTCGCTTCTTAGGGTTAGGTTTTCATTTATTCACTGAACCGTAAAGGGCTGCTGAGTTGTAACTAGAATTCTTTTCTGTGCTTGTTGATTCCTTCAACCCAACAATTTTTGCACACCCTGTTCTGCAATAGGCTCTGTGCTATTTACTGGAGCAGAGATGAACAAGACATGGTCTCCCCGCTATGCCAGTCTAGTGAAGAAATAGATAAGCAAATCAGTGATGATATGATAAAGACGTGCCAGAGGCTCAGCTTTAAAAGTATGGAGAAATGTTGGGATCCAGGAGGCTAAATGCAGTTAACAAAGAGTATTCCTCCAATGACAGAGACCTTTTTCATAAATCGAGGGGAAAGAAGAGAGAAGCATACAATATCCAGGAAGCAGAGAGAAGAGATATCTCTTCCACTAGAGTGGAAGGAGGAAAGAAAGCCAAACAGTTTGGGTGGCAGAGGGGACACGGAAGGGGTCCCTGTGTGTGGCTTTGGCTTTCACCTTGGAGGAGGTAGATGGCTTCCTCCAGCACACACATGACGCTCCGCATCCTCGGGTCTGCGGTCTCTTCTGCTATTCCAACCATTAAGCTTATTGGGTGATTCAGCTATACTGCTCTTCCACCTCTCCTAGTCTGTAAATTCCTTCAAATTACTTTGAAGCCTCCAGACCAAACAAATCTCTGTTCCTCTGGTTTCCACTACTCCTTTGCTCCTGAATCCACTCTCCCTCTTTTCTCTTATTTTTTTTCTGTCTGGTCTCTCATGGTAACAGTTATTCTGTCTGCCCCTCAGAATTTCATCTCATGCCCTTTATAAAATTATAATCCCCACATTTTTATCTCCAGCCTTACTCTCTCATGCTCGGTTGTTGGTTTGACATCTCTTCATGTGTAAGGCCACCAAACATCCAAATGTAAGTCATTAATTGTATCTTTTAGTACTCCAACTCTATTCCTTCTTCCTTGGGTTTTGGAAACTCCTATACAGTCCATTAGTTTAGAAAAAACTTGAAGTTATTGTTGAGTCTCTGTTTCTATCTACTTCCAGGTGGTTTTTAAGCTTGATTTAATTCTACAAAACCTCCCTGAATCTTTGTTAAGCTTTTTATTAGTCAGTTAACCCATCTCCCCATCTCTCATAGCCCTTTTCATTCTTTCCTTCTTTACAGAGCTATTATTCTGCACTCCTTCATTCACTGCTTTGCACTCCCATGTCAGCAAGAGTCTAAAGAATCTAAGAATCCCAGGACACAAAACAGGAGGGCAACTTACAGTTTACATGATAGACGTGCAGTGATCTTGTTCAAGTTCTCTTTCAATATCTATTTAATTATGCAAAAATCTGAAAGTTTTGAAATTACTGTTCCAAAATCTCAAATATATAGTTTAGCCCTCTTCCTCGCTGCCTTATTCCTCATTCACCTACTCACAAGCAATACTCAATCCTGTGTCTCTGTGGTGGCTCTGGGCTTGGAGGTCCATGAGCACCCCAAGGTCATGCTGTTACCTCTGTCTTCCCCAAATCACCTGACAAGGAAAGTCAGTCCTCAGCCATTTCTCTGAGAGCAAGACCAGACAGGAGGTGCTGCAGCTAGTCTAGAGGGCCTTAGGAAGGAGCCTGTCTCCACTCTCATCGCTCAGGGTCCCAGAAGACCAGAAGTCTCCCCTCTGTCCTTGCCACAGTGTACCCTAAGCACACAAGGGAGGCTGTCACTTCTAGCTGACTCCTCACTCTCCATCAAGGCTCACCCGGTCCTTCCCAGATTCCTTGGGTCAAAGACTTTTTGTATACTCTCTTTTCCTTCTAATCAAGTTTCTTTTCAACCTTTCTTATTTAACCTCTAGCCATCACTCTTTCTTCTCCCTCATATATAACATCTACTATTCCCTCTAACCTTTAAGCAAATATCTGCACTGTGACACTTAATCATGTGTCTTGTGAACTCACATCTCCTACATAGAGAGCAATGAGCTCCCTGAAAATAAGGAATGTCTTATTCATGTCTTTGCTCCTACAAAACCTGACATTTTTATTTGCCTGTGCCTGAAAATTAGACACATACTTGAAGAGACAGATTTTCATTACAAAACCCTCAGGTCCTAAAACACAAATAGGCTCTTTTGCATTGACCATTTTGTTCCAACAGCCTCTGATCACCACTCCTGGTGCTAGCTCAGGGTGGAAGCTAATGGGCAAGAATGAAAATACCAGCATCTTCAATATCTCCTATGCCAACTTCCTCTTGATGGGTTTCCCTGGATTGCAAGAGGGACGGCTCCTCCTCATTTTCCCTTTTACTTTCCTCTATGTGACCATCATCTCTGCTAATGTCCTGGTCATCCACATAGTGGTGGCCCAGCGGAATCTGCATCAGCCCATGTATGTGCTCATTGCTCTGCTCCTGGCTGGCAACATTTGTGCTGCCACAGCTGTGATGCCTAAAATGCTGGAGGGCTTTGTGCATTATGCCAACCCATCACTGCATGGCTGCCTGGCCCAGATGTTCTTTATCTACTTCACCCTCCTTCTGGACTACAATCTCCTCCTAGCTATGGCTCTGGACCGCTATGTGGCCATTTGCCACCCACTCCGCTATACTGACCTGATGACATCCCGCTTGCTGAGTCTACTGACCATTTTTGCCCTAACACGGAGCCTGGGCGTGGCAGTCCCCTCGGTGGTACTAACTGCACGAGCTCATTTCTGCCGTACGGCAGTGGTTCAACACTTCACCTGTGAGTACATCGCACTGCTGAGCATAGCTTGTGGCGACCTGACCTTCAACAACCAGTTGGGGCTGGCTATACGGCTGGTCACTGTGATCTTCGATCTGGCTTTGCTAGGAACCTCCTATACTCGCATCATATATGCTGCCTTCCAGATCTCTTCTAGAGGAGCCCGAGCGAAGGCTCTACACACATGTGGTTCCCACTTACTGGTCATCCTCACCATCTACCTCTCTGGCCTTTCCAGTTCCATTGTCTTCCGAATGGCCAAGTCTGTCTCTCAGGATGTCCAGAATCTACTCAGTGCTATATACTTACTGCTCCCAGGAGCCTTGAATCCTCTCATTTATGGGGTGAGGACTAGAGAAATTCGGCAACATATAGAAAAGATGCTCTGTAAACGGGAATCACTCCAGGAGGTTGGAGAGCAGCCAAAGAGACTTCAGAGTATGAGAGTAGACAGGAAGTTGCCAGGATAGAACATTATCAACTTGGGAAGTTGAACCTGTGCCTGGGAATTAGATATAAGAATGGGGTACAGAGAGATAGGCTAGAATTTCCTGAGCAAACTATGAATTGTTCAGTTCTTAGAATATTCTGTTCACAATAAAATTGCTTGCACCTGTTTATCCTCATTTTCTGTGCTTCTCTCCCACCTCATTCCCTGAGAAAGCCCCAAATATCTGGATACACAGTGCTTCACTAGGAGACACACAAACAAGTCAAACAGAACATGATGTGCCCTAAACACATAGTCTGAAGCAAAAGTCCAAATCCTCCCCTGATGATCTCTTTTCCCAAATACAGCCTAGGACCTGACATGAAATTCAGTGTGACTAAATAACACTGGTCAGTCTTATTCAAGTTTCTAGTCTAATCCAACTAGGTTGAGTTCTATAACCCAGTTGGTCCCAAATATGCACAATCGTGGCCTCAGATTCCAAATTTGACACAGACACGCATGTCAGACTGACCCAGGGTGCTTTTTAGCCCACACAAACAGGTCAGATCATGCTCTGGGCTCTACTTAGATGAAGTCCTCTTCTGAGTTCTAGTCTGACCCAAAGAAAGTGGACCCTCCCTGGGGAATCCAAACTCAGCCAAACACCCTCAGAACTCTGAGGTCTCCAGGCTGATCTCAGGAACACCAACTCCTGGGTCTGCAGCCCAAGTCAGACTCACAGATCAGACTAAGCCCTGATCTGGGATTAGACCTGCTATGTTTGGGTATCAAGTTGATGAGGGTGGGATGTGACAGTTAGGATGGACTGTCAAATTGATTGACTTGCAAGTCACTCAGAAGATCAGTAAGCAACATTTCAGGGTATATTTGGGTGGGCCATCAAGGCAGGATCATGGGGCTCTGTATCTGGTCCCTCACCCACTTCCCAGTCAGTCACCATGAATTAAGCATCTTTGCTCCACTACACCATTCTGCCACGCTGTTGGAGTCAGCCGACCATGGACTAAATGCACATTGAACCTCTCCTACAAGCTGTTTGTTATTGTGTCTCAACTACAGGAAAGCAAATATATGGATTAACAAAATGTGGGTTGGAGAATATTTATTTATCTATTTTTCAGGCTTAAAAAGGAATGAAATTCTGATACATGCAACAACACTGAAATCCTTGAAAACACTATGCTAAGTAAAATAAACCAGATGCTGGGCAAATACTATATTCTACTTATGTAAGGAACCTAGAATAAACAGAAATATAAACTAGAACACAGACTGCCAGATGAAACAGAGCAGAGAATGAAGAGTTACTGTTTACGGGAACAGAGTTTCTGTCTGGACTGTTTAAAAAGCTTTGGAAATAAGTAGTGGTGATGGTCATATAACACTGTGAATATACTAAATTGCCACAGAATTATACATTTAAAACTTGATAAAATAGTAAATTTCATGTTATGTATATTTTATCATGGGGGAAAGAAAAAGACATATATTAAATCAGAAATGTCTTAATTTCTTTCCTGAACTCTCAAAGAACAGAAAATGTTTTTTTCAAACATGAACTTTGTATAACAGTAAATGAAAAAACTGACGCACACAGTACTTTAAAAAGTTTATTTCAGAATGACCTATAGAACTTTATCTAGATAAAGGTCCTATTGGTAGTTCTCATACAATACCACTTAGTTCTGCTTCTAGGAATCCACGAGTAAAAGCAGCAAAATTCAAGTCTCCTTACCCAAACTGGTATCATCAGAAAAGGACTGCTAGAGAAGTGATGAGCCTTACCAAATCACTTCCTATTTCCAGGATGACTTCTTTTGCATTTAAAACTTCTACTTTGATTCCCAATATACAGGGTTTTTTTGTTTGTTTTTTGTTTTTCCTTTTCCAAATCATTCCCACTATATAGAAACAATACTTTAAATCAATTATTCCTTCTGTTTCAATATGATCCGGCAAAGCCATTTAATCTTAAGCAAACCACTATGCCTATCTATGCTCAAGTATTTTTTCTATGGGAGATGCGCTGTTTTCCTCTAAGTCTTGTTTCAGGATCCACACATCAGACATTCATCTCTGTTCTCCAAAGAGCACACCATGGCTGCTGTGTTCCTCTCTTTCTCTTCTTCCTCCTTCGATGCCTTTTCCTTATCTTTCAGTTTCTCCTTATTTAGAGTGAACTGGATAGGATTAGCTGCAGGTCTTGTCCTTAAATAATACATCCCAGTCTTCAAACCCTACAAGGGATATAAATACAACTATCAAAAGAAATTGTGAGGCCACCAAGCATTCAGATCAATATTTAAAATATTAAAGGCTGGAGATTTAGCTCAGTGGCATAAGCGCCACCTTGCAAGCAGGCAGTTGAGTTCGATCCCTAGTACCGATAAAAAAAAAAAAAAAAAAATTTTAAATATTGCCCATATATATGTAATGGCTTAAAATTTTAATTTAAAGAAATTTAAAAAATACATTTGTAAAACTCAAATCAAATTCTTTGCTAAACTGCAATTCTATCTCCTCCAAAAAGTACTCTCAAAAAACATTTCAACAATCAGACAGCTTTATTTTGTTCTTTTTATCCCTAAAATAGTTTTATCTCTTTGGAAATGTCAAATATTTTTATTCAGCTGTCTTTGCTTTTATGTGTAACTTCCAAGAATGTCCAATAAACATTTAGAGAATGAGACTATGTCTCTGTATGACAAAGTATATTGTAGCTACTTTAAGAATTACATCTTCTATTCAGTATCCCCAACAAAAAGCATATAGTAAGTATTCAACAAGAATATGTTATAGAAGAAAATAAACTTACTATTCTATATAAATATCCATCACACTGCCAAGGAATAAGAATATAACCTAAAATTTTAGGGCTTTACCGTTGGTAATGATAAATAATTCAGCTTTTAAATTGCTGTCAATCAAGTGGAAAAAACAGATGTTTTTAAATAGTGGGCTGCTATTTATAAAGTATTATTTTAGGAATGCTCTAAGGTATCTTGGAGCAGATAAAATAGTAAAACTCGGTTAAGAACAAATGTTAGTAGAAAAGGGAGGAAGATACTCAAGAAACAGTACAAAGGAATGAATGAGGAACAATCCACACTACTTGCTAAATACTTTCTTGAATAGTAAAGGAAGTGAAAAGCATAAAGAACTTTGTCTTCAAACCTGCAAAGAAAATAATCGCAGAAATGAGAAAATCCAATGGATGTGCTTGGTCTAGTATAAAAAACTTAAGGTGGTTTTAACACATCTGATTCAGAGGGAAAGAACATCTAAGAGGCAATATTTAACAGTTAGCTGGAATATAAACCTGTTCCACTTCCAAAATATCCCAAGCTGGTAATGAAGTCTTTAATTTCTTCTACTAACCTGCTTCCAGCCATAGAAGTGCATACTGGTGAGCTTGCCATAGTTAGGCTCAGCAATATGGATGTTCAAAGACTGGCTTTGATCAATGAAAGCACCTCTATCAGCTGCCATCTTGAGTACAGTTTTCTGAGAGATTTCCCAGACTGTCTTATAAAGTTGCTTCAGGTCATCAGGAATTTCCAGTATGGTCTGAAAAAGGAAAAGTAAATATTCAACCTACTCTAGTTAAAGAAAACAATAGACTAACAGAATAATGGTACAAGGATTTAACCTTCCTGCCAGAGCTGACCAAATTATTTAGAATCATATAACACGACCCTTCTTGAGTCTTCCCAGATTGCTTACCTCTTGCTTACAAAGTCCAACAAAACCCCATCCAACCAAATATAAATCTGGTGGTAGTGATTTAAGCAACCATCTTTAACTGGCTTATGGCCAAAATGTTCATTATTCTAGAAGCACTTAAAGGAAGTAAAAGTCAGAACTAAGAAGCAATAAATGATCCTTCAATGTCACAGAACACCCAAATAACTAGGACTACAAGTAAAAGGGACACAATCAGGCTCTAAAAACACTTTTTTTAAATTCCACCTATATGGATTGCCTAATGCAACAGCTTCTGTCACAAAAAATAGAAATATTTCAGGAGTCTTTTGTCTGTTTGGCCACATAGACCAATGTATATCCAGGGCCCTCTATCTACAAATAAATGCTGCTTGATTCTCAACTATAAATATTTTATTATTAATCACTATTGTGACTGTCTTTTGGACTATCAGTCCTCAATCTCTACCATGCTTTTTAAATTTGGCTCTAATTTCAGACATTCTATAAGTGGTCCCCAAATTCTGAAGCATTCTGAAATCACATCAAGTTTTTTTTCACCAGGGATTGAAATCTCAATCTTGTGCTTCCCAGGCAGGCACTGTGCCACACTGAGCTATATTCCCGGCTACACTGAGAATTTTTATGGTTCCAACTCCTACTCTTTATTTAACTGGAAAGGGGTACAAGCTAAATTTCAGGATCTTAAAAGCAAAAAAAAGTGGGAACTACTGGATCCCAACATGGCTGATTAGCAATGTGTTGGTCAGAGGACAGACACAAGATAATGCTGGGATTCTAAAACAGGGGAGGCAAACATACCCACATATGGAAAATTAACTCAAAAGCCAAATCCTGTCGATCAAATCAACTATCTGGTTTGTTGAAAAGGGGAAGTGGCACCATTGCTGGTCTGTGACCCTTCTTCCTCTACACAGCAATCACAAAGGAGCCATCACAAGGGAGCCATCACAGGGGAGACTCTAACAGTCCCACTGCTGCAGAGGCCACACTCCTGGGACAGGTTCCCCGTATACTCTCCCTCCCACCTGAAAGAGGAAATCCAGCATGGTAGATAACTGCAGCCAGGGCACCAGGACGCTGTGGCTGCAATCAGAGAAAGGGAGAGCCAGGAGAACAAAAACAGGTAATCTCTCCCACCATCATCCTCCCAAACACCAGAGAACTCTGTGTCCCTGCTGCATCCAGCCCACTGCCCACTGTCTTCCATAGACAAGGGAAAGTTCCCGAGCCTAGACAGAGAGAAGCTGAACATTGTGAGCTGTGGGCAGCCCAAAACTTGCTGGCAGGGAGCTATGGATTGCACCCCTGGAAACACGGAGAAAGGGGAGAGATTCAGCAGAGCTGGACCAGAGCAGGAACTCTCTCAGTAATCCCCCATATACCAGGAAGATCTCAGATAGCGTGAAATCCTCCCTACTACCCAGTTCTGCAGGTAGGAATGTGGGGTTCTTAAAACAGGCAGGAAGAGACAAAGAACTGAGGGTGAAGAGACAGAAAATGGTACCAGAGTCAGAGGGCTTCTGCTGTCACACTGGGCAGAAGACCCTGAAGTGAGAGTGTGAAGATGACTGTGAGATCTGCCCTGCAGCAAAGGGAGCAGACACTAGGGTGGAGTGACCCTGGTAGAAGACAATCGAGAACCTCATTTGGGCAAATCACCATATCCTCTTACCAAATTAATTGAGGTGTTTAACTACAAATATATTCACTAGTCCTGACAACCTCACAGCTTCCCTCAATCTTTAACCACACTTCCCTCTTTCTGCATCTCTTCTCCCACCTGAAAAAGTCAGTAAGACTTTTGCCCTTCTTCTGCCCACTCTACATCCCAGACCAACTGCTAACAGCAGTACAGTATATAGTCTGTAAGGAGTACTGATAAAAGGGCAAAATTGTCAAAACAAGTTTTAATGTTCATGATTGATATAGTTGGATCTGTGGATACTATTGTGTAAGCACATGAATTTCCTCTTTACAACAGTGTCTGGGTCCAGTTAAACTGAATGGGTTGAAATGATAGAAAAGATCTGTTCACAAATACAGCCAAGATATCATTTAAAAATAGAACTAAATAAAGAACAGCCCCTTTCTTCTCCATTTAGCAGGGTAAGTGAGAGGCCCCACAGTATTCAACTCCTACACAGCTTCATACTCACTCCATACCTGGATAGAGCCATTGCATGCAATAATCTGATTTTTCATTTTTTCATTCCATAAGCCCCGCTCCGTAAGATCTTTCAGTAAGTGAGGATTTACAATCTGATAGGAAAGTAGAAAAGATGTGATAAATAAAACCCAAAGGCCTACATCAGATCACAGGCTTAGAATTCAAAGTAAGATTACTTAAGAATTATTTAACATTAAATTGCTTGATCAATCCTGTTTTGCTTTACAAAACTGAGAGGTCCACCCCACCACATGAAATGCATATTCCTTAGCTATTAGTAAGCATTACTAATCATTATACAAAGCACACATATATCCAATCATCACATTGTACACTTTGGATCATACAACTTGTTAACTGTACCTCAATATGGCTAAAAAACAATTTTTGTGGCAGAGCTGGGAATTGAACTCTCAGCCTTGAGCATGCCAGACAAGCACTCTACCATTAAGCTATACAACCAGCCTTCAAAAATATTTTTTTCAATTAAAAAAAAATACAGGAGGCTGAGGTTGGAGGACTACAAATACGAAGGCAGCCTAAGCTATAATGAGATCCTATCTCCACCAAAAAAAACAAAAAAGAAAGAAAGAAAAAAACCCAGAGGAACAAAGAGGGAACTTTAAAAAACAACACCAACCCTATTAACCAGAAATTCTAATTGGTAAAAAAAGTCTGAGAACTAGTCTTAAATATTCCTGCATATACCTTAAGTATCCCAAGTATCCCAAGTTCTATCAGATATCATTATGATATAATATTATCATAGGAATTCTAGTATCAACAAGTTACTTCCATACAAAACTCTTAATTATTCCTTCTTTCAATAGAGTTATTAAATGTTTTTACATATTGAAATAACATAAAACAGTTTTATTAGATATTACAGTCTATAACAAAGCTTTGCTCCAAAACTAAGAAAAAAGGGCATTTACTAGGTATGAATGAGCATTTACAGCAAATATCCTGGTTTTATTTTTTTGTTTGTTTATTTATTTTTGAGGCAGGGTTTCACTAAGTAGTTCAGTCTGCCTAGACTCACCATGTAGCCCAAGCTGGCCTCAAACTCATAGGGATCCTTCTGCCTCAGCCTCCCAAGTGATAGGATTACAAGCATGTGCCACCATGCCCAGTGAGCATCCTGATTTTAACATCTTTTATCTGGGGGCTGGGGATTTAGCGCAGCGGCATAAGCACCTGCCTTGCAAGCAGGCAGTCGTGAATTTGATCCCTAGTACCAATTAAAAAAAAAAAAAGATCTCTTATCTGGCTGTGAATTTCTTACCTGAAATTCTCCTGACAAGACTCTTCGAGTGTAGATGTTACTGGTATAAGGTTCAATGGACTCATTATTCCCCAAGATCTGAGCAGTTGAAGCAGTAGGCATTGGGGCAATAAGTAAACTGTTTCTTACACCATACCTAAAGAAAAAAAAGATTCTTAGACGCTGGTGTTAAAGCTGCCAGGAAGTTATTTTATATTACTGTAACGTATGTAGATGACAGGAGTAACTCATACATGCATTTAATTCACAAGTTAACTTTTCAGTTAACTCCTAAGGGCAAGGCACAGTAGAGTGCATGCTTTTAATCCCAGCATTCTGGAGGCTGAAGCAGGAGGATCACTGTAAGTTCAAGGCTCGCTGGGACTAAATAGAGAGACTTTGTCCCGTAAGTAAATAAATACAAACTCCTAATGGGAGGTAAATGGAGGCAATTTGAGATCATACGCTTAAGTGAAATAAATCAAACTCACATTTGTAAACATTGTTTTGTCTCCCTAGCAGGGGTGGTGGGGTGGTGGTGGGGACACGAGTAATAAGATCCAAAATGTATAATAGATATTGTGATAATGAAAGAGAAAGAAAGTGCTCAAAAGGAAAGAATAACGCAGATAGGGGAAAGGAGAGAAGGAAGAAGGGAAAAGATTATATGTATATAGATATACTTTTATGTGTGTGTGTGTGTGTGTGTGTATGTGTATATATATATATATATATATATATATATATGATAGTTATAACTACTAACCTCTGTTATTTTACCCATAAGAACAGTTTGTACTTTCAATGTTCGACTGATCATTTTTTTATGACTAAATCTTGTAAGTTGAACAACTACTTCTTAAGATAACAATATGCAATATATTAGTTAGTGTTAATTTTCTACTATCCTTTTGAAATTCGGGATCATGGGGGCTGGGAGTTTAGCTCAGTGGCATAAGCACTTGCCTTGCAAGCAAGCAGTCGTGAGTTCGATCCCTGGTACCGATAAAAATGAAAAAGACAAAAAAAAAAAAAAAGAAATTCGGGATCATTTCTATCCTTTTTTCTGTTTTGCTTTGTTAAAATAAAATAAAAATTAAAAAACTCCTATAGGGACACAATTCCATGGTATGAATGTTATTGCTCACCCATTTCTTAAGTACCTGACGCCTGAACAGAATTAGCACAATTTTTACTGCTGACATTCTTTATCATGTCATGGCTTATGCCACTTGCCCTGTATGCTCAGGAATCACAAGACTTGATGGCCTATCATGCCCAGAGAAATGCTCAAGTCACAATTCCAGAGTCCCCCACTTGCATCAGCATACACTCACTCAACCTCCTCATTCTTTTCTAATATGGTCACTATGCTGGGCCCCTTCGTAAAATATACTGATATGGAAGTGGTGCAATTATTCATTCATCACAACTCTCCATTATCCTGTGAAATGGGAAAAAATACATTCAGAGTATATTCCTGACTTCCTCTACTACCAATTTAAGTTCCTAGGTTTGCTCTGTAAACATTTTCTATGACCTCCACCTTAACATATGCTTTAACTTTTTGTACTGTATGTCTTAGCTTTACCTAATCTTACTTTACCTAATCTTACGTTTCCCTAACACAAAAAGAATGCTTTTCCTACATTCTACACCCAGCATTTCAAACATAGTTTAGCAGGGCCTTAGAGGCTGACAGAGACTGTGTAACTGGGTTTTCAACCTTACTCTGTCACTTTCTGGTTATAAGGCATAGAGAAAACCAATTACCTCCATGTCTTTATTACTTCATGTATAAAATTGCAACATCATTTGTCTGCAGAAGAAAATCTTGTGAAGTTATACATGATCTATCCAAACTATGGAATTGTCTGTGATTAATAAAAACATGCAGTAGATTTATATATACTAAAAGTGAAAGCCAAAAAAACACCCACTAAGTAAAAGCTTCAGAGGACCGGGGATTTAGTTCAGCAGGCACAAGCACCTGCGTGGTAAGCACGTGGTTGTGAGTTCAATCTTTGGTACCAAAAAACCAAACAAACAAACAAATTAAGTGCGCTGAACATTTAGCTCAGTGCCTCAAGCACGTGCCTGGTAAGCACAAGGTCGTGAGTTAGATCCCCAGTACAAAAAAAAAGCCTCAGAATATGTCATTTGGCATAACCTTACATGCATGTATATCCATCTGTAAATATACCAGAAAAGATCTAGAAAACTACACACCATTAACAAATACTATCTTTGGGAAAGGGAACAAGTTTGTTTGTTTGTTTTGTGGGACAAGTGGTTGGCAAAAGTAGAGAAGGACTTTTAATTTCTACTTTATTTCTGCATTTAATGAACCAATTTATATACTAATTTTGAAATTTAAAAAGGTTATAGATATAAAATACTAAGTGTTTTGAGTAAGGAAAACCCAAATGACAAAATACAGAATGCAGTGTGGGCCCATTTTTGCAAAAGTTTAACAGACACATAATATACATAATACATAATGCTCAGGAGAAAGTCTGAAGGACAAGAGGCACCAATGGCAGTTCTGGAGCACATATTACTAGGATAATTTTTCATTTTTTCCCTTTTTCATGTATGTTTTTCTAAATTTTTTTAACATGTAGTTTTATGAAACGATTTTATGCCAATGCTTCCTTCTCTAACCACTAGGCACTTTGCATCTACATTAACCTATAAATGACCACCTCATGACAGGAAACAAAAACAGTATGTTTCGTTATCCATTCAGCAAAACATTCTACCAGTCTTCAAATCGCTTATGTTTATTTGTTTGAAAGGCTTACAAAGACTATTTTGGGGAATGATCAGTTGCTGGGGATTCAACACAGGGCCTTATACGTGCTAAGCAAGTGCTCTACTACTTAGCTATAGTCCTATCCCCCAAAAACAATTTTTAAATTTCTCTCTCATAGTTTAATGCTAAACATTACCCTCTAAAAGCCCTTCCAAAATCCCTGACATTCCTATGAAAATCAATTCAAACAAAGCCCAATGTATAGAAGAGTAGAAACCTTTTATTTCCATATATATGGAAAAATGAAAGTTTAGTGACAATTAGAATACCTATTATAGATAGTAAGTCCCTCAAACAAGATCAATTAATAATAATGATTTCCATATACTCAAATGTTTTCACTGTGTCAAGCAACTTGACAGGTTATCATACATTTTCTTACTAAATATTTTTCCAAAAGTAGCTCTGTGAGGTCAGTTTTTAGCCTCATTTAAAAGAAAACTGAATTTCAGAATTTACAATGACATATTTGATTTCTGAAGAGCCAGGAGAACCCAAGCCCTCCTGATTTTAATGCTACTTTACAATTCTTCACACTTACTTTGCAATCTTCTCCTTGAGAAGTTTCCAGTCCCACAGGTCTGTGGGAGTAACATTCCACATATCATACTGAAGGATCTAAGAAAGAAATTTATGATGTCACTCTACAGCAATTTAAAACGATGACAAAAAGCAAATAACTGCCAGCAAATTCTGTCTTCTATTCAACCCATGTAAGGAATAATACAAGTTTCAGAGAATTTCCTGAACAAACTTTGACACAGTCATTTTGAATCAGAAACAGGCAAATTGAACTGGTTAAGGTCTCCTCTTACCTGCTTCCCTAATATATCTTCTCAGAGGGTCCATATGCTATCTACAAACTAGGAAATTCTACCATTCATGAAAGCATGTTCATGAGATACTTCTTTCTATAACAGAAGTGGTTACTATAGCCTTTTCATTGCCTTGATCTGTTTACTGAAACACCTACTTTTTTTTTTAACCTCTACTTCTTTGAAAATGAATACTTTCAAAAAACTACACATTAAATTTCTTAAATATCAGCAGAAATGCCAGAAGTAAAATTTTACATGGAAGAACATGCTAACAACATAATAACAATAGTATGGGAGGCAGAATTCTAGGATGACTCCCAGATTCCCAGTCCCTGGACCACAGGCTATTTCTATTTCTAATCTCTTCTGAAGTTTGAGTATGGAAAAGACCCAAGTATGTAAGGCACATCATTCCCAAGATTATAGCAAACATAAAGGCTACCTGTAGATGTAATTAAAGTTGCAAATCAATTGATTTTGATTTGAACAAAAGAGAAGACCTGACTTATCAGATGAATGCTCCCAAGAGGAACTAAATGAGAGAATGTCTTTCCCACTGGCCTTGAAGAAGCAAGACGTCATGAATTATAAAGCCATAAGGAAATGAATTCTGCCAACAACCAAATGAGCTCAGGATCTTTCCTGAGCCTCAGAGACCATGGACTGAGGAAATCCAAAGAGGGCACAGCTAAGGCAACCCTGGATTCATGACCTCTGTAAACTTTTAACATAACAAATATATGTTGTTTTAATCCACTAAATTTAGCAACAGAAGACTAACAAAGACAGCATTCTTGTTTTAGTAATGACTAATTATAAATACAAAAGGTTAAAACAGTATGCTTTTTTTTTGTACTTTTTTTTTTTAGAACTCATAACCTTGGGCTTTCTAGGAAAGCACTTAATACTGCTAAGCTAAATCCTTGGTCCCTCCCTTTTTATATTCATTACACTTTAGAGGATAAAAGTACTGAAGTTTCCTATGGCTAATGTAACAACTTACCACAAACTTGGTAGCTTTAAATAATGCAAACTCATTCTCTCATGCATCTGGAGGTCAAAAACCAAATCAACATGCTTGGAGGGTCATGCTCCCTCCAGAAATTTTGTTCCTTGCCTCTTTAAGCTCATAAGGCTGTCAGCATCCTGGGCTTAAGCAGTTATCACTCGAGTCTCTGCCTCTGTGATCATACTGGTTCCTCTGTCTCTTGGAAGACAACTGTTACTGGATTTAGGGCCCTCCTGAAAATCTGGGATGATCACTCAAGATTCTTAAATACATTTGCAAAGATCCTTTTTGAACCAATAAAGATAATATCCAATGGTTCCAGGGACCAGTATGTAGACAGTCTTTACAGGAAGACATAACCATTCATCTAACTGTTACTAGCAGGCAAAATGAAGTTTCACCCATATACTTACTCCTTTGCTTACTGGAGAGCCTTCATAAGTTTCATACGGACCATGCTCCTTGGCTAGATCACAGCTGGCTTCCAGGGCTCCATAATAAATAGTCTCAAAGATTTGCTTATTTAGTAACTGGGCTTCTGGACTCTCAAAAGGATATCTCATCAGGATAAAAGCATCTGCCAGGCCTTGTACACCAATTCCAATGGGGCGATGACGTTTATTTGATAAGTGTGCCTTTGTACCAGAAGATTTTAAGAAAAATATCACTGAATGCAAGAAGTTAACATTCTGCATTAATGACACGTTATCCCTTTTTCATGTTTTTTAAGACCGTATCTCATTATGTAGCCCAGGTAGGCTTCAAATTCACAATCTTCCTGCTTCAGTTTCCCAAGTACTGGGGTTACAGGCACACATCAACAAGCCTAGCTCACAAATTAACTCTTTATCTCAGTCACCTCACACCGTTTAAGTGATAATCACTTAAATTATGACTAGCAGAACAGACCATGATAGCTATACTCCATCTATCTGGATTTCAGTAATTACCATTAAGCAGAAAAATCTATTCATACCTCTGGGACAGGGTAGTAGTTTATATCAATAATTTTATTCAAATTTCGGACAATGACTTTAGTGACTTCTGCCAATTTCTTAAAGTCATATGTGTGTTCTGATGTGACATACATATTAAGAGCCAAAGAAGCCAAATTACAAACTGCAACCTGGAATGTAAAAAAAATAAACATCATCAAAAATCATACAACTTTGACTTCTTATGTCCACGATGTTACCCACCATAAGCCTCCAATATTCTTAAGACATTATTTTGACTTCTCTCTTTATCATTCATCAGTACATTTCTAAATCTCTTGATTCTATCTCTTCAATATGTAGTCATTGTACCACACAGTTAAGCAGGTAAAATAATCATGTTTGCACAGTACATACTTCTATTACCAGGCATACAACACTAAGCTATAATTACTTTACATAAAACTCTCAGTAGTCAGTAGATATGCAATATTTAATATACTAGTCACTAGGTACATATAACTATTTAATAAAAATTAAATAAAATTTAAAAATACTCATTTCAAGTGTGTTCAATAGCCACAAGCTCTTTTTGAGACAAGGTTTCTGCAAAAAGCTCTTCCAAAAATAAAAGTCCACCTCACCTTCACTGGTATTTTATCAAGCCCTTAACAACACAGGATCCAAACCTGTAGATTTAAGAAAAGCTCTTCAGGTGATTTCCCTTTTGTAGCAGACTAAGTAGTGAACTTCTTCAGGCAGGGATCGTATTTAACTTTATTTTTAACACTAGCACCACATTTTGCATATGTAAGTGCTTAAAAATGTTGAGTGAATACATTTTCTTTTCCATTTGGACTACTCTCCAAATCTAATGTGGTCAGCTTCTCTCATATGTAATACAAACATGGTTTCCTCACCACACTCCCTGATGCTCTTAATATATACTTAATTCTACATGTTACCCATTTTTAAAATATAGTTTGGATCACATAAGTCTGATAAATGCAAGGAGAAAAAATAAGGCAGAAAAAGAACAGACTACTCAGGAGTACAGATGAAAAATACGTATTTTTATTAGTATATGTTTACAATACATAATTACATTTACCTTTGGGATTGGTATATATATACTTATATATATATATATATATATACACACACACTATATATATCATACCTTACATTTTGGGGGAGTTATTTTTAAACATAATGTTAAGAAAGACTTCACTGACAACATGGCATATGAGCTAAGAATTAAGAAGGTTAGAAAGCAAACTATATGGCACTAGATTTACTATTCAGGAAAAGAGCAGAATTCCTGAGGCCAAAACATGCTTGACATATTTTGAGGAACAGCAAAAAACATTACTAGGCCGGAGCACAGCAAGCAGAACAGAGAGAACAACAGCAGATGAGGGGGAGTATGCACTTGGGTAGAACCTTACAAAGCATTTTAAGAACTCTGGATGAAGCTGGACATGGTGGTGCATACCTATAATCCCAGCACTCGAGAGGCTGAGGCACAAGAATCACTGCAAGTTCAAGAACAGCCTGGGCTATAAAGTGAGCTCACACCCAGCCTAAACTGCATAGCAAGACCTTGTCTCAAAAAAAAAAAAAAAGTCTGCATGGGAAGCAATAAAGTATGGATACATGTTACCATGTAGTAAGTCTTGAAAATATGCAAGTGAAAGAAGTCTGACACGAAGGCCACATAATATATACCATTTATATGGAATGTCACAATAAGCAAAGCCAGAGACAGAAAACAAATTAACAGTTGTTAGGAACCGGAGGAAATGCAGAAGGAGTACTAAAGGTATAAGATCTCGACATCTAGAGTGATGAAAATGTTCTAAAATTACCTATCTCCACAATTACATGAAAACACTAAATTATATATCTTTTTTTCGTTTTTTGAGACAGGATCAGAGTACAAGACATTTGCACTTAATCATCCAAACAATATTAGCACAAATCTTTCTCTTCAATGAGCTCAGAGAAATCAGTAATATAACTATCTTAACTATCTTAGATAATTTCTTCCAGCTTCTCATACTAGTGAGACAATATGTTTACACATGCATGTCTGATTTATTTCACTTCTTCTGAACATGGTCTCAAGTTGCATCCATTTTCCTACAAAAGTCTCAAGTTTATTCTTTATGACTTCTTTAGTACTCCACTGTATAAAAATATCACATCTTTTTTATCCATTCCTCTGTTGATGGGCATTTAGGTTGTTTCCAAGACATAGCTATTACAAACCATGCTACTATAAACATGGGTGCACATATATCGCTGTGGTATGATGTTTTAAATTCTTCTGGGAAGATACCTAGAAGAAAGGGAATAGCTGGGTCAAATAGGATCCCCAATCTTAGTTTTTTAAGGAACCTCCACACTGATTTCCACAGGGGTTGCATCAGTCTGTTCCTATCAACAGTGGAGAAGGGTTCCTTTTTTCTGACAAAGCCTTCACCATCTTTTTATTGGTTGATTTCTTGATAATAGCCATTCTTTTTGGGGTGAGGTGGAATCTCAGTGTTATTTTAATTTGCATCTCTCAAATGACCAGTGATGTTGAACATTTTTTCATATATTTATTTGCTGTTTGTATTTCATCTGAGAAGTGGGTATACATCTCAGATGCTCATTTCTGGATTGGATCTTTAAATCTAGGAGAACTGATTTTTTTGAGTTCTGTATATGTTCTTGATAGTAATCCTTTGAGGAACAGCTCACAAACATTTTTTCTCACATTGTGGGTTGTATCTTCACCCTGTTGGTTTCTCTTCCTGTGCAAAAGCTTTTCAAAAGATGAGACCCCAGTTGCTGATTCTTTGTGATAGTTCCTGTGCAATCAGAGTTTTGTTCATAAAGTCTCTGCCTATATCAAAGTCTTCAAGAACTTTACCTAGTCTATCTTCCAGAAGACTTAACATTTCTGTTTTAATATTTAGATCTTTGATCCATTTTGAATTTAGAACCCAGTGAAAAATAAGGGGCCAACTTTAATCTTCGGCATGCACAAAGCCAGTTTTTCCAGCACCATTTGTTTTGTTTTGTTTTTTATTTATTTATTTATTTATTTATTTATTTTTGGTCTTTTTCCTTTTTATCCTGGGATCGAACTCACGACTGCCTGCTTGCAAGGCAGGCGCTTATGCCGCTGAGCTAAATCTCCAGCCCCCTCCAGCACCATTTGTTAAAGAGGCCATCTTTCTTCCAGTGAATATGTTTAGCACCTTTAGCTGGGTATGTCTGGAGTTGTTTCTGCATCTCCTGATCTTCAGGTTTAGGGTATTTTTTGTTTTGTTTTTGTTTTGCCAGTATCACGTTGTTTTTATCACAGTGCCTTTATAGTACAATTTCAAGTCAGGGATTGTGATACCCTCTGTCTTGCTTTTGTTACCCAGGATTACCTTTACTATTCTATTCTAGGTCTCTTCTCATTCCAGATGAATTTTAGGAGTATTTTCTCTAATTCTGAGACATATGCTATTGGAATTTTAATTGGGACTGCACTGAACTTGTATACGTTTTGGAAGTATGGCCACTTTCACTACATTACTTTTTCCTACCCAAAAGCACGAGATATCTCTAACATGCTCTAATATTTTCTAACATGCTCTTCAATTTCCTTCTTCAGAGTACTGAAGTTTTCACTATAGAGGTTTTTTACATCCTTTGTTAAGACTGATTCCTACATATTTCATTTTTTTTTGGATGCCACTATAAAAAGTATCGTTTCCCTGATTTCTCTCCCAATGAATTTTTTATCTATGTAGAAGGCTATTGATTTTTGAGTGTTGACTTTGTAACCAGCTACATTACTGAATTTGCTTATTAAATCTAGTAGTCCTTTGGTGGAGTTTCTAGGGTCTTTTAAGTAGAGTATCATGTCATCTGCAAATAACAGTAGTTAAACTTCTTCTTTCCTATCTTTATTCTTTTTCTTTCTCTTGTCTAATTGCTTCAGCTAAAGTTTCCAGGACTATGTTGAATAACAACAGATAGTGGATATCCTTGTCTTTTTCCTGATTTTAGAGTGAAAGCTTTCAGTTAGTGTCCATTTAGTATGATGCTGCCTGTTAGTTTGTTATAGATGGCCTTTATCAGATTGAGATAAAAACCATCTATTCCAACTTTCTGTAGGGTTTTTATCATGAATGGGTGTTGCAGTTTGTCACAAACTTTTTCTGCATCTATTGAGATGATCACATGATTTTTGTCCTTGGCTCTGCTAATAGGGTATATTATATTTATTGATTTACATATGTTGAATCATCTCTGCATCTCTCAAATGAATCCCACTTGATCATGATGTATAATCTTCTTGATGATTTGCCACACTCTCTTTGCCTGTATCTTACTGAGGATTATTTTCATCTATGTTCAATAGGGAAATTCACCTGTAACTAACTTTTATTTGGATCCTTCTCCAATTTTGTTATTAGGGTAATGCTTACTTCCAGGAATGAATTTGGGAGTGTTGCTTCCCTTTCAACTTCATTAAAAGTTGAGAAGCAAAAATTTCTTGTCGCGTTGAGCACTGAATTCGTCAGGACCTGGGCTTTTCTTTGTTGATAATTTTTTTTTTAATGACCAACCAGAGTCTAAGTTATTTATTTAGGCCATCTCTTGACATAAGCAAAGGGATGGAAGATCAATATGATGATCACCATTTGATACAAGTAAGGAAGGTGAGCTTAAGATTCTATGTGCTTTTCTGGTCCAAATGCAAAGTAATGGTCAAAATCCAAGCTTTGTTCCCGATGCCTGGGTAATAATGGTCCAGGTTCTCTTCACTCATCTTCATAGCCAGTTGGAAGCAGATTCACACGAGGGTTATAGAATAAAGTATGGTTACCATCTAAGGAAGGGCTTGGTCCTGATGCGGAGGTGGGGGTAGGTGATGAACTCAGGTCTCTCCTCTTCGTGGTGCGACTTCAGGAAAACATTCAGCATGCTCACTGCCACCCCCTGGAGCGCCACAAAAAAGGTGAGAGCCTTCTACATGCGAGCTGAGCCCTCATGGCTGTGGGCACCACTCAACATAAGCTGCCCCACCTGCAGGCAGGACCGGCCTAGCAGACAGAAGACCAGGACGCAGCTAATGCCACTGCCACCATTTTGGACCCAGACCCTGTTGATAGATTTTTAATTACACCTTTGATTTCATTGATGCTGGTTTACTTAGAATTTTATTTCTTCTTGAGTCATCTTTGGTAATTCATATATATCTAGGAATCTGTCCATTTCTTCTGTATTTTCCATTGTATTAGAATACACATTTTTAAAGTAAGTACAGATGATCTTCTGGATCTGCAGGGTCTCTTGTGATTCACCCTTTTTACTCCTAAATGTGCAGATTGCAGTCATTCTTTTTTTTTTGATAAGATTAGATAAGGGTCTGTCAATTTTATTTACTCTTTCAAAGAACCAATTCTTCAATTCACTGATTGTTTATATTGTTTTTTAGTCTCCAAAGCATTAATTTCTATTCTTTGTAATTTCCTCCCTTGTATGAGCTTTAGGCTTAGCCTGCTCTTCTCTTTCTAGAACTTTGAGGTTCACCATTAAGTTGTTTATATGCACTTGCTCTGTTTTCCTAATATGGCTATTTACTGCTGCTATAAATTTCCCTCCTAAGACTGCTTTGTGTCATATAAGTTCCAGTATGTTGTATTATCACTCAATTGTAAAAACTGTCTAAATACTTCTTTAATATCATCTGTGACCCATTGGTTGTTCAGGATGCTATTTGATTTCCATGTAAACATTTTAAATTTCCATGTAAACAACTTAAACAAGTTCTTGTGGTTTCTTTTGCTATGGACTTCCAGTTTCATTGCACTGTGGTCTGATACTATGCATGGGATAATTTCAATTCCTTTACATTTACGTAAGCATGCTCTATCAGCCAGCATGTAGTACTCTGGAGAATGTCCCATGTGCAGCTGAGAAGAATGCATACTTTGATATTGTGGGGTGGAACACTGTAGACATTTACTAAGTCCATTTGTTCACAGGTCTGGTTCAGTGCCAATATTTCATTAATTTTTTGTCTAGTTGATCTGTCTTTTTGTAACGGTAGGGTATTGAGGATTCCCAATAGAACTGTATCAGGCCTTATTTGATTTTTCATGTCTGTTAGTATTCATTTTATAAATTGGGTGCACTGGTATTTGTTGCATATGTATTTATGATTGTTATGTCTTCCTCTTGGATTGTTCCCCTTGTGAGGATGTAGTGGTCTACTTTATCTCTCTTAATGAGCCTTGGCTTCAAGACTGCAAATAGAATAGCTATCCTTGCTTTTTTTCTGGGTTCCTATCACAGGGAATATTGTTTTCCACCGTTTGACTTTCAGCCTATGAATTTCTTTTTGAGTTTAAATGTGTCTCTTGTACGCAGCATTTTGTTGGATTGTTTCTTGATCCATTCTGCCAGTCTGTGTCTTCAATTAGTAAACTGAAACCATTAACATTGGTGCTTGTAACTTGACTTATCTTTGTTATATTATCGTGTTGTTGGCTCCTCACAGGATCTCAGATATTGGCCTAATATGCTTCAAATACTTTCAGTGGAATTTTTATTCTCCTAGATATCTGCTTGAATCTGCTTCATAAACTCTGTTTCTTTATGCTGAGCTTCTATAATTTTATTAAGCCCATCTATTTTTTTTGTCTGTATCTGTACTATCTTTATTTTGGACACCATCTCTATAGTTATGAGAGATCATTACTGATTTCATTTTTTTCCAGAGCCTCATTCAATTGCTTTGTTGTTATCACTTCAGAGAAGCCTGGTGGGAGGCTTTTGGATTGTTTCTCCTTACTGCCCCTGGATTTGCCTTTGGTGAACTGTTTGTCTGGGATTGCTTAAGTGTCTTATTTTTTTATCTTTCTGTTTTTAGTTTAATTCCTGGAGTGATACTTGTAAACTGCCTATGGTTGGTTGCTTTATTCCTAGTATTTAGGACCTTTAGGGGATGACTATTTCTCTGAGGTATCTTCCAGGAGTAGTTGGTTTTTGGGTTTTGAGCCAGTTGGATGACCTTACCTCTTCAGTTTGTTGGAGATGAGAAGTTGTTGCTTGTTTGGCACATGACTGGTTCTTTGGAACTGTGCCACAGTATTTTCTGTGACCCTTAGTCAATCGCAGCCATGGAATACAGTGCCAACCAGTATAGTCCTTCACATCTGCTTTTCCCCTTCTCTGCTATGTCTCTCTGCAGAGGCCTCTGAAGTTGCCAGCTGTCATCATCACCATGCAGCCACTGGATCTGTCATTATTAAGACATTCTTCCCAAAGGGAAGTTTTCCCCTAAGCTTTTTTTTTTTTAGTGGTACTGTGAAGTCTAAACCCAAGACCTCACACATGCTGAGCACATATTATACCAATGAGCTACATCCCCAGCCCACAGCATTTTTTAAAAGAACAAATCAACACCCTGTTTCTATCCTAGTGTTTTAACACTAGAGACCTGAGATTAGAATTTTGTCTCACCATGCTCTGAAAGGACCCTCTACATACTTACATACTTTAATTAGAATTAGCATCCTAACCCATTTGTGTCTGATTTTTCAAGTAAATAATATGTATTACAAAGATCTGAATATTTAAAAAAAAGATAGTCTTTTGTTACGTGGCTTAGACCAAAAATTATTTACAGGCACAAATCATACTTCTCCTGTCCTTTGGAATCTACCTTAGCACTCTTTTAAGTTTACAACAAACTTACAAAAACATCCTGAACTCACTTTAAATGAAAGCTAGTGGGGGCTGGGGATTTAGCTCAGCAGCATAAGCGCCTGCCTTGCAAGCAGGCAGTCGTGAGTTCGATCCCTGGTACCGATAAAAACGAAAAAGACAAAAAAAAAAAAAGAAAGCCAGTGAGAGATTCACAAACAGTAACTGCCCAAGAGTTCTCTTTCTACTCCATGCAGTTTTTCTACCTACCTCATCTTTGCTGGTATATTCTACTATTTCTGTGCACAGGTTGCTGCATTTGATTGTTCCCAGGTTCTGCTGGTTGCTCTTTCGATTACAGGAATCTTTGTAGAGCATGTACGGGGTACCCGTCTCTGTCTGAGACTCGATAATGGCGTACCAAAGTTGCTGAGCTTTTACAACTTTGCGAACACGACCTTGTTTCTCATAACTGAAAGATAAAGCTAATACTATATTAATACTTATTCATTAGAAAACTATTGTAGACAATTTGAAGAGACATTGAACTATAAAATTATGCATGGTTTACTACAGAAAAAAAGGAATATGATATTTATTCCTTTTACTCTGGCTGAAGTCATAGTGTGAAACAAAGCAGTTTCCAATCCTTTCAAATGGCTCTCTCATCACACCAAAATCTACCACACCTTTTATAATAAAAACAAAGAAATAAGAACAATAGTCAAATCTCCCAACACTGTGCTAATTTTTTACGGGAGGTACCACAAGTCGAAGTCAGAATCTCATACTTGCCAGGCAAGTATCATGCCAATGAGCTAAATCCCCAGCCCCTGTGCTAATTTCAATGTGCCCTACTCATTTATGATTATGCAATATAAAACATAATTTATCAAAAGTCTTATAGAAAGAGAGTAAAATAAATAATGGCTCTGCTAGTCTGCCTTAACTTTTATATGGAGCACTTTAAAAATCCAAGCACCTACTTGCATGTCCCAAAGTTTTTGGTTGTTGTTGTTTTGAGAGAGGGTCTAGCTATGTAGTCCAGCTGGCCTTTGAACTCACTGAATAGCCCAGGCTGGCCTTGAAATTATGTCGATCCTCCTGCCTCAGCCTCCTAGGTACTGGGATTACAAGTGTGCACCACCACATTTGGCCCCAAAGTTTTAAAAAAGATAGCAAAAGCCAATTTTGGTGAAGAGTCAGAAAACAAATCTGATCAAAATTAATTCACTAATCATCTAGATACTTTCAAAGATTCCTAGAAAAAGGTTAATAACTTAAAAGAAAAACCATGGTTAAAATATTTATCACTTTCATGTTTTTCTCATACCGTTCATACAACTTCTCAAATTCCTCTCCCCAAACCTCATCCAGACCAGGACACTCATTTGGACACATCAAAGACCAGTCCTACAAAAGGAAACACAGTACCACCTATAAGAAACTTGGGATAACCAACCATAGTGCCACTGCAAATGGCTTTCGTAGGCTCTCTTGAAAATTGCTGTTAAGAATAATCATTTTAGGTTGAGATCAAAACTCTAGTTCCACCCGTTTGTCCACGACCTTTTATTCATTTACGTCAGGGAGTTTCTGTTTTAAAAAACAGAAATGCAAAAAAACTGACATGGCATCTCTTGATTTGCTCAGAATGCCTTTCGTAGAATTTAGTGGAACTCTATGAAATCACACATAGGTGGATTCTTCCTAAACATTGCTTAACATGAAAGAAAAAAAAAATTACTTAACATAACTGGTAAGAAACACCGATATATCAAGTTGCTACTACTAGCAGGTACCAATTTGTCTCACCTGATTAGTCTCCACTCGTTTCATGAAGAGATCTGGAATCCAAAGGGCAAAGAAAAGATCCCTGGCACGCTGCTCTTCCTTTCCTGTATTCTTCTTTAAATCAAGAAACTCAAAGATGTCTAAATGCCAAGGCTCCAGGTAAATAGCAAATGCCCCAGGACGCTAATGGTAAATAAAATTATCAGTTTTCAGGATAAGAATGAAACAAAGAAACTTCATACTTTCAAAGCACTTTTGTAATATTTCCTTTGACCTCCACTACAATTAATGAATTAAGTAAAGTAATTCAGTTGAAAGTACTACAAAAAATATAAAGTAGTAATATTTTTCTACAACTCTAGGAGTAAAAATAGAATAATTGGCCAGACATGGGAGCATACACTGTAATTCCAGCTACTTAGGAAGGCGCAGCAGAATTACAAATTCGAGGCCAGTCTGGGCAATACAAGAAGACCCAACTCAAAAATAAAAACATAAAAAGAACCAGAGATGTAGCTCAGTGGAAGAACATTTGCCTAAGACTCGTCAGTCAATCCCTAGTACAGGCTGTTAAAAAAATGTGGACCCCCCCAAAAAAATTAACTTGTCCAAGGTTAATGCTGAATTTACAGGCTCCTCTTCAGCTATGGTCAACATAACTTTCTATCATGACATATACATAGAAAGAAAAATTGCTTTAATTTTGACAACATGATTTGTGTTCTTATTAAAGGTTAAAAGGTCACCAAAGTCCATCAGAGATAGATGATTAATGTGGCTACAAATTTTTATGAGGCAAACTAGCTGCCAACTATCCTACTGATAACACTAGGTACACAACTCAATTCTCTCAATCCTGCTTTCCTTCTATAAAATAGGATTGTTGCGTCCATTTTGTTTTTCCTTTTAAAGAAAAATCTACGGCACATATGGTAACCATTCACAACCTGACAATTTTTTGCAAATAAATTGACATGTAAAAAGCTGAACAGATCAGTTGCTGCCTGGAAGCCAAGATAAACTATGTGTGGGTGGGAATGCTGAGGTGACTGAATGGAAAGGTGCATGTTATAGTTTAGATCTAAAATGCAAACATCTTGTGTTCAGAAGTACAGACTGGTAGGAAAGGACAAGAGTATGACCTGGAGGGTGAATTCTTATCCCTCATGTGTCCCATCTCATTTACTTCCTGGCTGCCATGAGGTGAGCAGCTTCCTTCCACCACACCATTTCTCCCTTGGAGCTGGCTGACCAAAGCTGAAACCTCTAAAATCATGAGTCACGAAAAACCTTTCCTCCTTAAAGATGGAGACGTCAGCCATCTTATTTCAGTGTCCAGAGTGTAGTAATACAGAGTATAAGCAAACATTTTAGGATAAGGGAAGCACTCTGCATCTTAATAAGCATGGTGATTACTCATTACACATACATTTGTCCAAACTCATCAAACTATGTAAGTAACGTGTGTACACTTTAAAAAGGGAGTTTATATCTTCTCAAAAACTGAGCTTTAAAAAGTAAAAAAAATGTAGTAGTTAGAAACTGTACATAATTGAACCATCTTCTTATACTTTCAAGTAACAGAACATACCTTGTTTCCACCTTGATCAACATATCGAGCTGTGTTGTTATATACTCTCAGCATTGGTACAAGGCCATTAGAATTGCCATTGGTCTGAAAAAAAGATCAAAAGTAAAGACATCTGTAGGAAAAAGAGAGGACTCAGCGAGAACAAAATGTCACAGAAGTGAATAAGCTGCTCTTTCCTAATCTTTTATCAAAAACAGTATCTAATTTCTAGACATCAATATATTACCTGCTCTCCATTTCTGCTTCTTCTATGAACATGTGGTATCCAACATAACACCAACAAAATGTCAGTGGAGAAATTACAGCTATCTAGTATTATTTCATGGCACCCCAATTTACAATGTGATATAAGAATTATAAGTCAAAAGAATCCAAATCACGTAGCTAAATTTATCTCTACAACGTTCTAAAGATTATTATATAAAGGTGTACTTTGGGGAAAGTAAGAGTACAAAACATTATCACAACATTTCCCCCCTCAAAATTCAATGTATCTTATAACAAGCATCCCAAAACAAATATATGAAGGCAATAAATACAATAAATCAGATTCTTGGCAATAAACAGATTATACAATGAGACTAGGAAAATAAGGACCATTACAACTAGAAGATACCTCATCAAATTTTTTATATCTTTCTAACAGTAAGGTAAGTCTTTAAATATTCTAGAAAGATATGAGTAATGGCTTATAATACTGTATATACATGTTCTATATGCGGCAGAGTGCATCTAAAACACTAAATAAAATAGTTTGTTTCTGAAACTCTATTCCGTAAGGTTAAACATTCTTTACACTACAAATGAAGAAACAAATGCAGAGATATAAAGTAACTTACCACAGGCCGTGCTATTAGTAGTAGTGGAAACAAGATCTAAATTCAACTCTCATTTCAAATCATTATCTTGATTCCCAATGAATAGTGAACTAGTAAAGGGCTAAAGCTTATACTATTAAGTGCCAATGTTTAAAGCTTAAATCTTGACTCTACCTACCACATATAAAATGACTGAAGTAAACTTTCTAAGTCTCAGTTTCTTCATTTGTAAAATGAAAACACTGGTGCCATGACTTACAGATTACAGTAAGAAGTAAGTCCTAGTGTGTGGCTGTAATGGTAGCTATATCATAGGGTTGTAGTAAAAGTTAAATGAGTCATTCAGACTTAGCACATAGTAAGCTATCCATAAATGATAGCTGTCATTAATACTGTTAAATCAGAATTCTAAAATCTGAGGTACAAAGGGTCCTAGAGATTATCTAGCATAAGCTAAACCTCTAATAAGATTGATGAAAGTGAAACCAGAAATAAAATGACTCACTTCACTCAGACAGAGATCAAGACTCCCACACTAGCATTATTGAATTATTTTGTCCTCTTGGTCATAAGCACAGCTACTTTTAGATTTCCTCCCTTAAATCTCATATAACAGAAACTTACCCCAGCAATGTAGCTGCCGGTAGCCCGAATACAACTCACAGCAACACCAATTCCCCCAGCAGATTTAGAAATCAATGCACATTGCTTCAGAGTGTCATAAATGCCTTCAATGCTGTCATCTTTCATACTCAAAAGGAAACAGCTAGGGGAGAAAAAGTGACAAACCAACTAAGAAATGAAGCAGAGCACAAAAATGATTATATTATCCAAAAACAGTAAGTCAGGTTCCCAAGTGTTTTCTACAAGTGTTTCTAGAAGTGACAAAATGATTGACTATTTTCCTGGACAATTCTTAAATTTTTGCTCTTCCACATAAGTTTTTTTTTTCTTGAGACAAGGTCTTACTATGTAGCCCAACCTGGCCTGGAGTTCACTATGTAGCCCAGGTAGTACTCAAACTCTCAGCAAGCCTCCTGCATCAGCCTCCTAAGTGCTGAGATTACAGGTATGCACCACTACACTCGACTGTTTCACATAATTTTTAGAATCAGCATGTTGAAATTCTGACTGAAATTATACTGAATATATAAATTAATGCTCTTTGGTAAAGATTGAGGATATTCTCCTTAAGGACTTTTTTAATTATATTGATTCTTAGGCCCCTTCTAGTATTATAAATAACATACTTTAAAAATTAATTTTTCAAATGATAAAGTATAAAAACTCAACCAATTTTTTGTTCAGGATACTGGGGATCAAAGATTATGCTTTCAAGACAAAAGGCTCCACTACTGATGTATATGCCCAGCCCCTCAACTAATTAATTTATATTAAATTTTTATCTAGGTATTTGCTAAAATCTTTTTAATTCTAATAATTGGTAGCTGCTCAAGTTTTCTATTTAAAAATCACATCTGTGAATTATTATTTTTGTTCACTAACTTCTAATTTTTTCCTCATAAGGCACAATCAAAATATAAAAAATATAATATTTAAATTTTTAAACTTATTACAATGAAAGACACGTTGCCATGAATCCCCCTCAAAATACTTGCTTTCACTTTAGACACGTCATTCTTTCTGCTTTCTGAAGCAGTTCTAGAAGTCCTCTTTGTAGTGCCTTTACAAGTTTGATCAAACATACAATGAATGCTGCTGCTAATGCCATCCAATAGAAAGGCAGGCTCATAAAAACATGGTATGTCCTCATCCACCTTATTTACACATCTGGCACCATGTAACTTCTGGCTTTTTCCTAAACTCAAAATGACCATGAGATATTTTGAATCAATTCAGGACATGAAGGTAGCCAAGACAGCACAACTAAATAAAGACAGTCAAGAAAAAAACTTCCAGATCTGCTTCAGAAAGTGGAAACAATGGGGTAAGTGTGTTCAAAGTAAAGGGGAGTATTCTGAGGCGCGTTAATGGTAACATGTCTTTTATGTAATAAAATAAAATCTAAAAACTTTTTTTTTTTTTTTTTTTTTTGTCTTTTTCCTTTTTATCGGTACCGGGGATTGAACTCACGACTGCCTGCTTGCAAGGCAGGCGCTTATGCCACTGAGCTAAACCCTCAGCCCCTAAAATCTAAAAACTTTTAAACATTCACTTTATTTTTTGGACACATACAATGCTGACCCAAGCACCTGTTATTATGCTGAAAACAGAGGTGATAAGTTGAACTTTCAGTGAATATCTTTTGCCACATCAGGAAGTTAAACTTCCTGTATCTATTTTGCTAAGCATTATATTATGAAAGGGCATTAAATATGTAAATGTTAATGCAGTGAATTATATTAATATTTTTTAATGTTGACATGTCCTTGAACTCCTGGAATAAAACAACTTGCTAACAGCATATTTTTTTTTTTTACATAGTATCAGAATATATATATTATATCAGTGTTCTCTTTCTCAGCAAATTGCATCACCATTTCTCCTTCAGTATACCCATAAACCTGGGAACTACATCCAAAACATTACCTCTGTCAACATTACCTCCAAAATACCTTTTAAATCTGTCTATGGTTTTTCAATCTGTTTTCTCTTCCATAATCCAAGCTACCATAATTTCTCATTTCAATTATCATGAGTTCTCTAACTAGTTCTTGGTATTTTGTCTTTAACTTTTATTTTCATATTAATAGGGATCACACCATGTTAGGGAATCCCTCTACAATGAGCTATACCTCCAGCTTAGCATTTACGTTTTTTGGAGTGTGTATGCATACACAAACCCAGGATCTTGTACACGTTAAATACGCACTTTACCATGGGACAAAAACTTTTAAACAGCTTAATTGAAATATAATTCATATACAATTCCCTACTTAAAATATACTATTCAATGACTTGCAGAATATTCAAAGCAACCACTGCGACAATCAATTTTAGAAAATTTTCATTATCAAATGTTTGCCTCTTGTGCAATTCATTTACCACATAGAATTCAGGGATCTTTCCAGAATGCAACTCTCATTTAATCAAAGCAGGCAGAGCATGTATTTAATGTGATGAACTGCCAACTTTCTTATTTCCCTCATCAAAACCACTTTGGAATACTGAAAGCAGCTGTAGATGGCATGTACCTTGAAAGCTGTGGGCGGTTGGTACCAGCATTGAAGAGAGTGGGAGAAGCATGAGTAAACCACCTCTCAGAGAGAAGATTGTATGTTTCAATTGCAGCATCTATGTCTTCTTTGTGAATTCCCACAGATACCCTCATCAACATATGTTGCGGTCTTTCAGCCACTATAAACAAAATGAAGTTTTCACTAATGAGATATATCAGAAAAACTATGCTAAAATATATTCAAATAAAAAAACAGAAGATCAAAAAAACTTTTATAGCATTAAGGAGGACAATTATTCACAAACTAAACCTGAAGTTCAAAATATTATTTAGAGTCTAAAGAGAAATGTTAAGGCTAACAGCACAAATATTCAATATAAAGAAAAGACAACATCACAATTTCATTTCTCACCTTTTCCATTGATTTTCAACAAATAGGACCGCTCCAGAGTCTATAAAAAGCAAACCAGCCAAAAAAATTTTACAGCGTATCTCTTAAAAACACAATGGATTTAGCCATCATAAATAAGGTAATCTATTTAACTCCTCTCAATATTGGTATAATTTTAACTGAAAATAATTGCATTTACTCCTCCTAGGTTGAGTTCACAGTATTACCAAATGTTGTCTTTGAGGAAAGATTGCATGAAAATTTCTGGAAAAATTCAGCATTGTATATATAATAGGATTCGTGGTATAAAACACATCGTCTCAAAGGTTAACACAAAGCACTTGTACCAAGCTAGGCACTAATACAAGAATATACCTATTTAATCCTCAACAGAATTTGTTGTTAAAATTTTATATTATCCTCACTATACGAAAAGTGAAGCAGAGATTAAATAATTTGCTAGTGAAAAATAAGGCAGAGATTTCAATTCAGGTAGTCTGACATTAACATGCATGCTCTCAATCAATGTACTATACTGTCTATCAACACAAAAATACTTAGAAAATTTGGTATATGGTAGAGATTCAAGAAATACTTTTTACAAAAATAACAGTAATAAGGAATAACTTGACACATTATCAATGTAATTCCTCAGGTAATACAGAAGTAATATCTGTAAAATTCAAAAACTATAAATGGGCAAGTTATCTTTGTCTTAATTCAAACTACTACCACTACCTTAACCCCACCAATTACCTAGGACCACCTTGAATCTCAGCAACTTTATTACTATCATAACTGAATCTTCAAATCACAAACAATCCCTGATTGAAGAAAGAGTCCCCATCTAATTGAAACCCATTATTTATTTACCTTAAAGCCAAAGTAATTGTAAGAGAAATCTCGGTCATAGATAATTGCAGAATTCAGGCGCTGGTGGAGTGAGAAAGAGCCTATAATTAATATAATTACATTTATTTTCACAAAATCTGATGTTTTACCCCTAACTCAAGAACTAAAATTGGCAGAGAATACAAGAGAAAACATGAAGCCTCATTGCTATAGAGTAAAAACCCATCCAACATTTGGAAAAAGAAACAACAAAAAAAAATTGTTTCAAAACTCCCTTAGTACATCTGTAATCAAAGAAGGAAAGGACATATGCATAAAAGTGGCTATCATAACATCCTTAAACATATTTTTAGATTGGTTATTAGTCTAAAAGTATTGGCACATATTTACTAATAATTCACATTGTTGACTTTAAAAATAAAAACTAGCTGGGTGTGGTGATGCATGCTTAACAATCTCAGCACTTGGGCGGCTGAGGCAGGAAGATTACTGTGACTCTGAGGGCAGACTAGGCCACAAAGTGAGTTCAAGGCCAGCCTGAACGTCATAGCAAGACCCTGCTTCAAAAAGACAAATAAATAAATAAATATCCCTTTTAAACTGCATATAATACACAAGGTAAGCAATGACAGAAAGCAGGATTTCAGACTCTCAAAATCCATTATCTTTCCACCAATTTTAAGCAAAGTACTATCGTGACAGGTTTTTAAAGCAGTTGGATATTAAAGAATTTTTGTAAAATACAAACCCATTTGAAGGAAAAAGGCAATTAGGTACAAATAATCACTTGGACTAGAAAAAATGGAAGTCAGCCTCTCAAAAGTACTAATAGAGCCTATGCATAATGATCCACGTCCAAAGGACTAGAAAAACCTACATAAAACTCTATTTCCCCTTTCTCTAAGATGTAAGGGAATCTGAGGGCTGAGAACATGGCTTGGCGGCAGAGCAAAACCCTAGATTTTGTCCCCATCATGAGGTGAGGGTCCCTTTAAACAGCTCCTTTTCACCAGGCACAGTGGCACATGCCTATAATCCCAGGTACTGAGATCACCAAGTTGAGGCCAGCCTATGCAACTTATTGAGACAGTCTCAAAATAAAATAGAAAAATGACTAGCGATATAGCTCAGTGCAGAGCGTATGCATGTATGAGATACCAGGTTCAATCCCTACTACTACAAAAAATTAATTAAGTTTTAAATGCATTTTTGTTGCAAAAGAGGCCTAGTATGAATATTGAAGAACTAAAATACTTGACTATCGATATTTATTTTTTAATATTTATTTTTTAGATACAAATTTTGCTGCTCGTTTTTTTTTTCAACCTATCTTCAAGATTATAACATAAGCAGGGAATGGTGACATACACCCATGATCCCAACACATGAGAGGCAGAGGTAGGAGAATCAGTGGGTTTAAGGCCAGCCTGAGCTACATCATGCGACCATGTCTCAAAAAAAATTTTTTTTATACATGAACAACATAGAAATAACTCAGTTATCTCTTAGTCTTCTTAACATCAGATACATATTTAAAGAGAAAAATCAACTAATCAGTCTATTATATAATACTAACACTGGTTTCTAATCTACCCAGATGGCCATAGCAAATAAAGCCTGTTTGCAAAAGGTCTGGCTGGACTGATACATCTTTATCCTTCTGTCCTCTGAGATTTAGTTTAAAAAGAGGTTCGCAAAAGTCACTGAGCAAGATATTTCAAAGCCTCATCAGAACAACCATTGTGGAAGTCAGTTTGGTAATATATATCAAAGTTTGAATGCATGTATTCTTTTTCAGCAAGAATTAAAAGATTTATCTTATGATATAATAACTTATAGGCAAAACATCTACCATACAATGCTATTCATTACAGTTAAAAATGGAAAACGAATATTCATCACCAGAATTCTTATTTGTATGTACAATGACAACATGGCTATAAAACAGGTGTCATGCCACTGTTAGAACAGGGTAGCCAGACATGGTGGTACACACCTAAAATCCCAGCACTTGGGAGGCTGAGACAGGAGGATCACTTTGAGTACAGGTTGGCCTGAGATACATAGTGGGTTCAGGGCCAGTCTGAACTACATAGCAAGAATTTGTCTCTAAAAAAACAAAACAAAATAACAAAAGAAAGAGCAAGGTATATTCACAAACACAGACATAGAACAATCTCCAAGAGCCAGGCATAGTGGCATGCACCTAAAATCCCAGCACTCAGGAGGTTGAGGCAGGAGGATCCCTGTGAGTTTGAGGCCAGCCTAAAGTACATCCTGAAACCCTGTCTCAAAAAGACAATCTCTAAGGTATACTTTACAGTGGAAATATAAAAGCATTAGTAAGAACAGTATACACAGTATATTATACACATGTACGCAAATATACAGACCAGTTCTGAAAAAATACATTTAAAAATAGCCAGGCATAGTGGCACACACTTTATAAACCCACCACTGAGGAGGCTGGGACAGATGGATCACTGCAATTTCAAGGACAGCCTGGGTTACACAATGAGTTTGAGATTAGCCAAGAATAAACTGCAAAATTCTGGTTCTGTCTTAAAAGAAAAAAAAAAAAAATACACTTAAAATTATAAAATGCAAAGCTGGCTATATGTAGTTCAAATGTAGAGCTCTTGCCTAGTATGCATGAGGTCCTGGGCTTGATGCTCTGCTCCACATTAAAAAAAAAAAAAAAAAAAAAAAAAAGATAATGAGAGATAATCTTTTATTACTTATCTCTTTTGTAGTACTCGTATTTTCTTAAATTTTTAAAAAATTTATTTAAAATGTCCACCAGAAAAATATTATACATACATCTTTATTGGCCAAAACAATATCCAGTGTTGACTTGGCCACCATGGGAGAATGCTTGCCATTATGTGGATTTATGTAGTTGAAGAGGTCCTCCATCACATCTAAGAAAAAATTAAATTAAAAATGTCAAAGCCACTTAACAACTAATTGTTTGAAAGAGTAGTTCTGGATCCTTTTTTCATCCCAACTCACTTCAGAACAGTACTCAATAAACATACCTATGTTGAATAAACATATAATACTGCACTTAAGGTAACGATCTCCAGAGAAAGACAATGTAAACTCCTGTAGCTTGAAAGAATTTCCAGATGATTCTAATATCCACCCACATTGGTAATTATAAATTGAAAATAAAGAAACAGAAACTACCATCACTTCTGGTCAGCTTTTTTCTATTAAAACAGAAACTCAATCTTAAAAACTCAAAATCTACCATCCCATGAAGTTCACTTCTATACGCATACATTTAGTAAGTTTTCTCACTCTGCTCTTCTTGAGACATTGAGCAATATTTGGCCCACTACATTTATATATAAAACTTCTACAAATGCCAATACAGTTGACTATGATTAAATTGAATCTATAGATCAATTTCAGGGAACTGACATTTTCACAATAAACCTTCTATGGTATAATGTTTGAGATCTCTCACAACAGCTCTGAAATTGAGAATGCAAAATTCCTAATCACAGTCTACCAGTTATACTGTAACAAAATATTTAACCTCCCTTTGCCCACATTTCTGAACTGTAAAAAGGGAGTATTGAAATGTTTTCTAATAGTGATCAAAATGCTGTAAACAATTTGTGCTAGAACTTGTAGATAAACATAATGTTCTGAAAATACTATTCTTCCTTTTTCATCCCAGACTTACCACTGAACACTTTCTTTGTTTCTTTGTGCAAGTTAGAGACAGCAATCCTTGCCGCCAAAATGGCATAGTCGGGGTGCTTAGTAGTCAAGGTTGCAGCTGTTTCAGCAGCCAAAGTATCCAGTTCCACTGTGGTGACCCCACTGTATAAGCCCTGGATTACTTTCATGGTGATCTGAGCCTACAAAAACAAGAATCAAACAACAAAAATAAAAGTTTGGCAAAAATAAGAATTTTTGAACATTCACAAGAAACAACAGCTTCCTTAAAAGAATAATTAAGAAACAATAAAACCTAACAATGTAACTTCATTTTCTGAAAAATCATCTTTTTGAATGGCAAATTTAGTAATAAGAATTCAAAAATTAACAGAACTGTTAGAAAGTAGGTACTACAAAATATAATGAGCCAGGATTGGCAGCATCTGCCTGTAATCCCAGCACTCAGGGGGCTGAGACAGGAGGATCACTGCAAGTTGTAGCCTAGGCTACATAGTAAGTTCAAGGCCAGTCTGAACTACATAGGGAAACCCTGTCTCAAAAGAAAAATAAAATAAAAAAATAAAGTTAAAAAATTAACAGTCTCACAGAAAAATAAATATATACCACATGATTCTTTAAGTTTTTGGTTCTCTTTTATTAAAATTCTCCCTATACGATCAGGTCTCCAGCACCATACTTATTTTCCCCAATTCTACTTAACAACAAAGAAAGAAAACCAAAAAAATCAAGACTTTAACCATTCCCATTATAAAAGAGTGAATTAGAGTTGGGGAAGAGTCATCTAACGATGACTAAACTCAGGCAATGCTAAGTAACTAAACATTTAAAGCCCTGAGTTTAATCACTAGAACCACAAAAAGATAAAACTAAAGACTACTCTTTGCTTTAGCACTTCACAAATACCAAAGTATTGCAACTTTTATAACTTCTGGCATATCACAATTACTTTGTAACCTGGGAATTATCACTATTACCATTTTATAAGAGAAACCAGCCTCAGATTACTGCAAATTATCTAAGGTTATGTTACTGTCCAAGTTTTCTGTCTCCAGATCCCACTAAAGGTCTGTTTCACTGTTTTCAAGACCATATGATAGGAGGCTCTCCTTTTTAACATACCATGTCCAAGTTATTACCATACTTCTTTTGTGTGTGGTATGAGAGATCAAACTGAGGGTCTGCACACTGAGCTACATTTCCAGGTCTGTTTTTGAGACAGGATCTTATGAAGCTGCCCAGGTTGGGCTCGAATTTAAAATTCTCCTCCTGCATCAGCCTCCCAGAGTATAGGGATTACAGATGTACACCATATCCACTTGTTTGTTTGTAGATAAGATCCTACTATGTAGTCCAGGCCAGTCTTACTATATATCCCAGGCTGGCCTGGAGCTCATAATCATTCTGCCTTAGTTTGGCATTATAGTATTGGAATTAGAGACACATGCCACCACACCGAGCCACCATACATTTTTAAGAATAACCAATTCAGAGGCTGGGGATTTAGCTCAGCGGCATAAACGCCTGCCTTGCAAGCAGGCAGTAGTGAGTTCGATCCCTAGTACCGATAAAAAGGAAAAAGACAAAAAAATAAGAATAACCAATTCTAAAAATACACACTTATACACAAGTTAGTTAAGATACTTATACAGCTTGTTTCTTTTGGTTCATGGAGGGAAAAGTTTTGTGCTAGCATTTTTTTGGACAATGTTTCATGACAATATCTTGTACTCTGAACAACTACTGTGAATATTATAATATGAAATGTGTTGATTATTATTGCTCTATTAGCCTGTTTGAAACTATCTTACTGTTATTTTTACCTTTTTCTGTGTAAAATAAAAATAACATTCTAAATTGTGTGTGCATAGTTACTAAATTAAAAAACAAAAACAGCTTAATCCAACAGAAAATCGATGCATTTTATCCAGCCGTTGCAGCACAAACCTGTAATCCCAGCATTTTGGGAGCTGAGGCAAGAGAAATCACAAGTTCCAACTCTGGGCAATTTATCAATTTGGCAAGTCTCTGTTTCAAAAAATAAAGAAGGGGGCTGGGGGTTTAGCTCAGCGGCATAAGTGCCTGCCTTGCAAGCAGGCAGTCGTGAGTTCGATCCCTGGTACCGATAAAAACGAAAAAGACAAAAAATAAATAAATAAATAAATAAAGAAGGGCTGGGGATGTTGCCTATTGCAAAGGCCCTGAGTTCAATCCCCAATGCAAAAAGGACCAAAAAAAGAAGGGAGGGAGAAAGGGAGGAAAGAAGAGAGAAAGGAAGAATGGAAGGAAAGATGAAAGGAAAGAGAGGGAGGGGCAGAGGAGAGGGACAGGGAGAAAAAAGAAGGAAGGCAGGCAGGCAGCCTCAAAACAAAGAGCTGGGTGGGCAGGTGTGTGTGGGGGGGTGATTATTGTATAGTTTGAAATCTATTCTAATTACAGTATTGCTAAGCCTAACTGGTTCAAGATCACGTTCTTTCTAGATTCAGCAGATAAATCACATTATGTATGAAGTCCTGTAGATTGTTTTGGTGTTACCTGGCAAATAGTCAGAATAAAGTAACACCTGTGTGCAAACTGTGCCTGATCTAACAGCACCTAGACTTATTCAACAGATTTCCTAATCTACCTCAGGAAACTGAAGACTGCTATAACACACTTGCACTTGGAATATCAAGCTATAGAATATCAAGGAATCTAAATTCTTCCGCTTAAACTCCCATTAACTTAAATCTCACCTTTCTCTTGGACTTTTCTTATATATAAAACAAAGAAGATAAATAGGATAAGGTCTCAGGTTCATCCCAACATTAACATTCCACTATTTAATTATAGTCCAGAAGTTCTAAATGTAAAAGAGAATTTAATAAGTATATTTTAAAGCTGTATAAATTATCTTTCCACTGTCCACTAAACATTAGTCAAGTACCTAATTAGATACAAGCTCTATTAAGTATCACAAGAATAAGACACAGCCTGTCACAGTTAAATTAGATTGTCAACTTGATTGGCTTCAGACCTGCATAGGGGATTAGTAAAGAGCACTTCTGAGTGTGTCTTGGGTTGGTCATAGAAGTGCCACCTTGGGTACTATACCCGGGTACCAATTAAGGGTGGGCAAACACAGGTGGATTTGGAAGAAAGGGTTCTTTTTTTTTTTTTTTTTTTAATTTTATTTAAGGAGAAAAGAGAAAAAAAAAACAGTGAAAGGGTACAAGTTATACAGATTTACAGAAAAAAATGAACAGTAGGAAATCACTAGTTAATGGATTACATATTGCCATCTTAGAAATAATTGTTCAAGTCACAAAATTAAAGCTTGTAGAGTGGACATTCCAACAATGATACTGCAAACAGTTCTGTTCAATGATCCAATAAAACTCTGTGATATCATTTTCTATCTTATACACTTAAATATACATGCAGTTATATAGTTTAGAGCACTTTCTTTTCCTCTCTTTTGTACAATGACTATTACACATTTTGGGTTTCATTGCTCCCACGGTTCTTATTGCTTTTTTGGAAGAGAGTAAAACCAAATGTGACATAACAGAACAGAATCGGTCAAGTCAAAAGGGTGGACATAATAGATAATGTAAAAACATAATACAAGGTGATCAACAGTGGTTACCATAATGCCTCCTGCTATCTCTAATAGAATTGCCTATATCATTAGTCATAATACAATTGAACAAAACAGTAAAGAACAAAACCGACAAAACCAAAACATTGGAGACATTGTAGGTCTTCAAAAGTAGATAAAAGTCAACGAGAATGGGCGTTATAATGAATCTCATTATCTTCACAGCTGATGCCTAAACTTTCGAACCTGATACTATCCAGCAAAACAGAATAGGGGAACATCAGTCAAAAACAAGATGGTGAGAGTAATACAGGGCTTCAAATCGAGATAATAGAAAGTCAAAGTGGGTTACTATAATATATCCTGCTATTTTTTTCCCTTTAATTAAACGGATAAAAATAAAAAAGTAAATAATGGAGTGGAGATTGGGATAAAAGGGCAGAACAGCGAAACAGCGCAGATCAAAACATAACCATTTAAGCAGAATAGTGTTGGAAGAAAGGGTTCTTACAGATTCTCATTTTAGGAAGATCAACTAGAAACCATGTGGAAGATAGATATGAATTAGACAAGATTAGAGAAAGGCTATGACACTTTAGAGACTGGTATTAACCTCAGTCAATGTAAGACATGCTGAAGGCCTTGAATAGAAGTCATAAGGAGAAAAACAGAGTAACTTGCTTATGAAAGCCTGTTCTCCTTAATTTAAATATTGTCCATGAAATCAACTTTTTATTACTTGTATATGTTCTTTACACACTGACTTTAAAAAGCAAATTTCAAATCAATTCCTATCCAAATGATCACATTTTTAAAACAAACTATGCTATAGACTTTTCCACTATAAATAATACAAATCATTCAAGAAAGAGAAAAAAAATGAAGAACTTAAGATATAAATCATATTCACTTACAGGATCAACAAAGTCCATATTGAGTCCATAACAAAGCTTCTGAATTCTGGATGTAATTTTGTCAAACATGACCCGTTCCTGGCGACCATCTGAGAATGAATCATACAGTTCACATTAGCACTTAGCAAAATGGCAATGTCAGACAATTAATGTGATTAATACAGGATTGTTTGATTTTTGTTCAGTTTTGGTTTTGTATTTTTTGTCTTTTGGAGACAGGGTTTCACTATGCAGTTCAGGCTGGGCTTGAATTCACTTTATAGCCCAGTTGATCTCCCAGCAATCCTCCAGCCTCAGTCTCCTGAGTATTGGGATCAGAGAAGTATGCCACCAAGCCCAACTTGTTTTGTTTTTGGCAGGGACACCCTACCACAGAGCTATATTCCAAGTCTTTATTTTTTTATTTTTTTATTTTTGAGAGAAGGTCTTACTAAGTTGCCAAGAGTGGCCTTGAACTTGCAATCATCCTTCATAGTAGGATTTACCCACTATTCTAGATAAGAATAAATAAATTAAGATTGGATAAATTACCATTTAAAGACAAATTAAGAATAGTGGAATTATTCTAGAAGGACAAGGAGGCAGATATCGAAGTTCAAAATCATGAAAATAACTAGATAAATTCTACATGTACAAATTTTAGTGTCTCCCACTGATTTAGTTTTTGTCTTCCTTGTGCACCAACAGTCCTTTGCAACTCGTGGCTAATTAACAACATATTAAATATGTGTTTACATTTGGCTTTCTCAAGTGTATTCTTTTTGTGCCAGGTGCTAAATTATGCTGGTAATGGTCTTAATTCATATTAAGAAACAAAAAAAAACCCTCCAGGTCCAAAGACCTACTGTTCTCTTACATGATTCCAATTGGTCCATTTTTCAGCCCAGGTACAGACTATCACACCACTCAGCCCTGCTGCTTACCACCTACTTAATCCTCTCTCTCTCAAAGTCTCTCAAAGTCTCTCAAAGTCTTCCTGAATTTAGTCTACACTTCACTTCTCCTGCTGTGCCTGTGAACTATCTAAAATCAAATAAACTTAAATAACCAAACATCATAGTTTAGCAACACAGTACATTATAGAATACAAGTTGTCTTCCTCATGGCCACCACATGGCTGATTAGGTTCTACAGCTGGCTCATTAGAAAAGAATACTGATATATTTTGAATATCACTCACTCAAAACAAGATTGAAGCTTAAAATATAGCTTCTACTATAAACTCCAAAAAACTCGTAACTCAGGAAACATCTGTAGAATTCTAATCATTTGATTTCCTCGTTATCAGCTATCTTTAATACTTTTATGTTCAGGACAACCTCACTAATCATATAAGATCAAAAATGTGCCTCTTCTGCAAGCTATGAATGATCTTTTCCCACATCCTGGAATGCTCAGATCACAAATCTTCATACAGCTGGCTCTTGGTATTATTCAGGGCTCCTTCAAACACCAGCTTCTAAGAGACCTTCTTTGATCATACCAACTCATGGTTGTCTTTCCATTTATCTTTATCACATTATTCTGTATTTCTGTGATCAACTCCCAAATCACTGTTTGAAATTGTTTCTTTATATGTTATTCATAAGTAAACACATAAGTCAGTACATTTCAGATAATGAAGTTATAGCTTCCATCTACACCAGCTTTTTTCACTACTGAATTCTCAATACTTACAACAGTTTCTCGCACAGAGGAAATAAGGGAATGAATGGGTTAATACTGTCTATTCTTTACCTATCATTTTAAGTCTTTGAAAGTAGGAACCATATCTGCCTAGTTAACATTGCAATCTCAGTGCCCAGCACAATATCCAGCAAAGTCGTAACATAGTGGGCTGGGCAGGGGAAGGCAGAGACAACAGGGAGAGTACCATGGAGGTAGAGACTGAAGTGATGCAGCTGCAAGGCAAGGAATGTCCCATGACATCCCTCAAAGGGTCTATCACATCTAGTGAGCTGACACCTTGACTCCAGACTTCTAGCCTCCAGAAGTGCAGCACAAATTTCTATGCTGAGTAATCCAACTTGTAGTACTTTGTTACTCCAACTCAAGGAAAGTGGATTTACCAAGATTCCTCTGGCAAGATTTGACATTGACTGGGCTCAAGTCCATGTACACTAACAGCTCATGGACTGACTGCGTGTCCACAACTTGGGGTAGACTCATCATGAGCAGCCATTATGTAGGAACTTGCAGTAACCAAGGAATAAAAAAAAAAAAAAAAAAAAAAAAAACATACTTGTACATAGAACATAAAAATAAAATACTAGTCTGTGAATGGAATTAAGGGAGAAAGTATGTATGTGTATGTATATATTGCACATGTACATGTAAAAATGTACTTTTTTTACTGTAGCTTATAATCCAAATTTTTGAAAACATACTAAATTCCAAAGAACAAATTACATTTCAATTAGCTACCCTATCATTTACTGAAATGGCTCTTAAATCTTATTTTCTTAATTTTAATCTCCCATTAGGAAAAATAGCTCAGGATAGCAAACAAAAAAAGTCATCAAATATTCCCTCTGTTATCTAACAATTTTCCTTGGATTATTACAAATCCTTAACAATTTTCAATTCTCTGAAAATAGAATTGCTTCTTTCCCCTATTATTGCCCTCACAGTGATTAGCAAGATATAAGCACACAAACTATGCATGGTGGAACATACCAATAATCCCAGCACTCAAAAGACTAAGGGAGAAGAATCACTGCATGTTGAGGCTAGCCAGGACTACACAGTGAATTCAAAGCCAGCCTGAAATTCAGAAAGACCCTGTCTCTAAAAAAAAACCTTTAAAACACTATCAACACAGTGAAAAAACCCTCTTAAATAATTACACCAAGACTAGTCCAAATTAAGAGGGAACCAAAAAAAAATAAAAGAAAAACAAAACATAAACAAATCTCAGTACATTTCAAATATTAACGAGTTTTGCTGAATGCCACATGGCACAGTCTAGATTCTATAAAGTATGAGTCATCTGGATCAAATTATGTTCTGCAAAGAAACAAGAAACAAAATAAGCCCTAACTTTTAGTTGTTCACAGTACTTCTTAAACTAGTTTTCAAAGTAGACCCAAAAAGTTAGAAACCCTACACACAGGTGACCAACTCCAGTAATCTAAATTCATAAATTTTCCACTTATCTTTGCTACTGACTTTCAAGACCAATCTCACGTAGCTCTTTTAAAAGGTTTAAAAATTAGATGTTCAGCTCTTACTGGAATAGATCAATATAAGCACATTATGTATTTTGATGGTTGTACTTATAAACTAAAATGTGGGAGTAGGGGAATTCTGAAAATGTTCTCCAGGCACAAAAACCAGAAAGAAAAACCACCATTATCCACTTTCCATCTCGACTGTAGATAAACCAAGGTGGACACAACCAAATCAACTACTGCCTACCCACAGCAATCATCATTTCCTACATTTTGACATAACTATTTTAATTTATTCTTTGACCTTCTCTCTGTTCATAGCAGTTTTGGTGCTAAAAGCAAGCAGCCCCGAAATGTGAGCAGTCTCGTGAACAAAACAGAAACAAGTCAGTCAACCAGTATTTATTAAAAGCCTACCATTTTGGGGCTGTGGATTTAGCTCAGCGGCATAAGCGTCTGCCTTGCAAGCAGGCAGTCGTGAGTTCGATCGCCGGTACCGATAAAAAGGAAAAAGACAAAAAAAAAAAAAAAAAAAAAAAAAAGTCTACTATTTTGAAACAACTTTATTGTTTTAGCAAAGGAAAGTGCATTCAACTCAGAATTTGTTCCTTTTTCAGAAGAGTCTGTTTATGTGTTGTTCTTGTTTTTCTAACTTATTCCTAAAGCTGGGTCTGCCGCCTCCTGTAAAAGTGCGAGCAAATGGCTGGGCACAAGGGACACAAAAACCTAAAGGCAAGTAAAGGTTGAGAAGGAATGCAAGTTCCTGGCTCTTCACAGCCCTTCCTGTCAGAAGAGTTGGTGGGCCATCTTTGACTCAGGATCTCTTCCTCTCCTCTGAGATTACTCCTGGGACGTGAGGCAACACAATCTCTTCCAAAGGGAAAAGTACAGAATGCAGCCTGTATCTGGGACTTTTCACCCCATTCCCCCATCTTCACCCCACAAAAAAGACCAAAAGAATGACAGGTGCCCGTGTGGCATATAAAACCCTTTCTTTCTTTGCTTCCTTTTGTGCCTAGTACAGGTCACCAAGCCCACGGTTTTCAAATAAAACTGTTGTGTACCATGGGTTCGAACGCTGATCGTCTCATCACCTCAGTGGGGGACTTTGAGTCAGGCACCGCAACCTTCCGCTGGGCCTCAGTTTCCCCTTTTGCACCCGCACTATTCCACACAGGGCAGGTATGACTCTCGAAATGCGGCAAGAGAACAGAAGTCATGGGGAGCACAGCCTGAGGCCAGAGGAGGACGAGGGGAGGTTGACGGGAGACAAGAGGCCGAGCTGGCTGACAGGGCGGGAAGCCGCGGCGGGAAAGGCGGGAAGCGGCGGAGGCCGGCGGGCTAGCTAGCGGGCGGGCGTGGGCAGGAACAGTTCTGGCAGCGACAACCTGAGCCCCTCTCCCTTCTCACCTACCCGCCGCCCTTCCTCGTCCCCTCACCTCGCTTGATCACATGCATCGCAACTAATGGTTGGAGCGCTGAGGCGTTCGAGATCGGGCTGCGGCTCTGAGGCGCCAACAGGCTCGAGACGGCGGCAGAGGATGAACGGCAGGACTCCACAGGACTGCTCGGGTGCAAGAACTGGAGCTGGGAGGTCTGATAGCACTTGCCTCACCAGAGCAGAGGCGCGACAATCCGAACTGCTTCCCGTTCCCGCCACCCGAGACGCTTAAAGCGGCGCTACTGGAGCTCGAATGACGTTACTTGACGCCACCAACGCCAGGGACGTGTGGGCAAGATCAGACGAGCAGAATCAGGCCTCTCCCATGGCTGCCATGTTGAGTATGGGCAAAGCCAAGAGACTGCGCATCTGCCAAAGCCCTATTGGATGTAGGCGGACCCGGCGGGAACGCGGTCCTCCTGCGCCATGTTTGGTGTGGGCAAAGCCGAATCGGAAGCCCCGGGACGCTAAAGGAGCTCGCGGAGTCCGCCCTGCCAGACCCCGCCCCCTCGGCTGCGAGCGCCGCCTAAAGTCATAAGTGCTTTTGAAATCGCAACAAGAACCCAACTTCTCTGAACACTTTTTGTTTGACTGTTATAACCCCAAGACTGCGGTTAAATACGGATCGATCGTAGTCTAGGGCCGGCGGTTAGGAGCAAGTGGAATCCGCAGAGCTGTTAGGTCGGCCAGAAGCCTGTCACTCAATTGGAAAAAAGCCATGGTAGGCTAGCAGTGTTTGGAGTATACCTTGATGCAAACTGGAGCCCTGTGAGATTTTTAAGCAGGGCCACAACTCATTTGCTTGTTCATGGATGATGGCAGTCAGAATCAGCAATAAGGAAGATGTTGCCTTGTGGAAGTGAGATGGAGTTTTTGACTAAGCATGGATGGTATGAGATGAGAACCCTGGACTGTGACCCAGTCGCACAAGTGCTTGCCCGGCTAGCAATAAAAGGTCCAAGTTCAATCTCGATACCACTCCCCCTCCAAAAAAAGAGATGAGAGTCCTAATATACAAGGCTGACACAAACTGACATGAAATCTTATCTGTGGCATCCTTTCTCTAAATCCTGTCACAAACTTTGACTGGCTCCTCATTGTCTTCCCAGATGCTGCCAAGCTCCCTGTGAAGTAATTGAAGCCATAAGTCACAGATGAAGCTATAGGATTAACATGGCCCCAAAGTAGCATTATCAGATTTAGGGAATAAAACTGTGCCACAAATACTGCATAAGGCAAAATTAACCTAAAAAATTATTGTTTCTCTCAAATTCCAACTTAACTAGGCATCTTGTATTTTATTAGGTAACTACTGGGGATAACTTTTTGAGTATTTGCATTAAGTGTTTTCTTTTCTCGTGGTAGAAAAAGAATAGAATAGTTTCTTCATCCCATTTGTTAAACCACAAAGAACACAATGAAAGTCAAAACCAGAAAAATTAAAATCTCCTACATGCTTTATTAGACTTCAAAGAGTCTTATGAAATAACACAGAAAAACCCATGTGAGGGTGTCCAGAGGGTACCAGGCAGTCTGCAGCCTATCACCCTCCTAAGACCAACCCCAGGCCCAAGATAGGATCCTAGGGTAAAGGCATGGCAGAATGGAGCAGTGGGAAAATATCTTTACAGCCATAGCAAAAACAAGTAAGGGAGTTGTGTAGAGGATGGGAAGGGTGGGGGGGCAAGGGGAAGTGGTCACACAGCAGCCTTCACATATACCATCTTCCTTCACCACCCCTTCCCCAAATTAATTGTGTCCTTTTTGAGCCTTTGGCCCAGGCAATGCAGTAACATGAAAATGGAGTCCGACAAGGGGAATATGCTGTGCAGGCACTTGGGAAATTCAGGAGATTTCTTTTTTCACTTTTAAACTGTTTTGTCTTTTGGTTCAAATAAAACAACATTCTTATTCAAGCATTCCAGGACTCCACAAGAGCCCTATTATCACAACTATGACTCCCTTAGCCAGGTGAGCCAACTGTCCTGAGCCCCAGGAGTACTGATACTTGGGGAGCTTTGGGGCAGCACCTCTAAGAGACAGATACTCCTGCAGTATGGGGAAGCAGGGATAAGAGGCAGATGTGGGCAGGACAAGAGAGAAAAGGTGACTGCCTTATAGCCGATTGCTCTGGCATCCACTTATCCTCCAACTAAAAGAGGTCTCTCCTGATCCATCCCAAACGTGGCCTCTCTTCAAAACTCTGGTAGTTTGTTCTTTGGGAACTGGTTTCACTCTTCCATAGGGCCATGGAAGCCTGAGTAAGCTCTAGGATGAGGTTTTCTCCAGTCTGTCATACTCCCAAAGAACAAACTCCAAAGATTAGGCTATGGCCCCAGTCTGGGGCAAACAGAACCACTGTGGGTGGGGTGAACAGATCTGAGGCACAAGTGTCAGAAGTTACTCCGCCTATCTTCCCCACAACTGCTAGCGGAAGTTGGAGAATATAGGAGGGAGAAACCTAAAAGCAGGAGACAAAGTGAAACAGAAAACCAAACCTCAAAACTGGGACAGCAGAGACATAAGCTGGATCCCAGAGATGGTGCTGGGAGCTAAGGAACTGCAACTAAGACATGCATTGAAGAGGGGAGGGAGTGACAGCAGCAGCCCATGACTGGGAGGGAAGCAGAGCAGGCAGGCCATGGTGGTCAGTTAATAAATTAACAATGAAGGACCCAAGGATGAGGGAGCAGGTATGTACAGTGCCCAGGCCCCTGGGCTAGCCCCTTCATGCCCTGCTCTAGGGGCCAGATATCTTAAAGAGGGTAAGGGATAGGGAAACAGAGGACCCAAGAAAGGAAAGCTGTCTTACCACTGCCACTCCCAACCTGCCTACTTCTTAAGAGGTTTCTTAAAGATTTTGAGAGGAAACTTCTTCCTGCCTGGGCTGGAGTCTGTCTCCTCACCAATAGAACCATTATCCTCCTCAGCCACGACCTTCTTGCCAGCCAAGTGGGGAATGCGTGTGTTTCGACTGGCTCGGCTGTCCCCAACTGGAGACGGTGTGTCTGGGTCTGGGGGACTAGGGCTATGCGAACGGGAAGAATCCAGAACTGGGGAGCCACTAGGTGGGGCTGAAGGGCTCAGCTCCATCAGGCTGTGGGCCTTGTCCAGCCCATGGTTCAGCGCCAGTAATGCCTTCTTGGCCAGGGCAGGGCTGTCAGGCTGTTTCTCCACAAGAGATCCTGGATGGACTCCCTCAATCAGCCGGTGGCTACCATTGGAAGGCATGGCACTGAGAGCCTCATCTGCAGCACGGCCCATCTGAGGAGGCTTGGGGACCACACGCTGACGATCACTCGTATGGAGGGAGGACTCCGAATCGGAATGGGTCAAATCCCTGAAAGACATAGGACAGAGAGGAAGAAAAGGACATATACAGGACAGAGGGAGATGAGGAAAGGTAAAGAGGAGAAAGGTATGTAAGACAATGAGAACAGGGTAAGAAATTGAGGACAGAGGGGCAGAAGAGGAAAACAGAATGCATAAGCAGATGGGAAGGAGAACAATGAGTAAGGAAGTTGAAAAAGCCATCAGTACAGCATAAGACAGGAGGCAGGAATAGGAAATGGGGATACATTGGATAAGAAACAGCGAGAGGAGAGGATTGTAGAAGAAAAACAAAAAGAGAAGCAGGCAGAAGACAGACGGACCAAGGGGAAAAAAGGGAAAAGCGATGGAGAGAAAAGAAATGGACAAAAAGAAACAAAAACAAATGTCATTAAACCATCATCTGTCAGGCAAAGGATTTTGCAATGCCTGGACCCCATCCCAGTTGAACACAAGGGCTCTAAACTGGTACAACCATGGGCTTAAATTCTACAGGCATCTTTCTCAATTAAAATTTCTGCTTTCCAAAAGCTGGTCAGATTTCTCAGGACCCAATCCTAAACTGACATAGAACCTGCAGACTTCTTTGAGTCATCATTTTCATGTCTTCTTTCCCCACTTACTCCTGTCGCACCTTGGGATACATCTGGTCTGGGCCAGGCCCCAGGAACAGGACACATGCAATCAGTGGGCCTGACCCAGGCTGGGGAGGGGAAGGTTAGAACAGCCTTGCAAACAATCCCTCGCCCACTCCCCAAAGGCCAAGATGCTGCCTCTTTCTACCCTCCTACAAAACTTGAAGGTCATAACAGAGAGGTGGTGTCGAGTTCAGACCAAATTCTACTATGGCAGCAGGAAAGAGGGGATCTATTTTAAAACTCTGCCGACAGTGAGAATGTAGGAAGACATAGAAAGATAAGATGTTGGCTTTAAAAGAGGAGTCAGAAAATCTCTGGACTCTTCTATGTGATCTTGGACAAGTCAGTTAACCTTGCTGGCCCTCAATTTTGGCTCAGTGAGAATGATAATAATTATCTGACAAGACCATTTGGAGAATCAAAAATACTGGCAAAGCAATCAGAAGTATATAAAGTATCATATGATGATGAGGTCTGCCAAACTGGAAGGCCCATATAGGACCAGTCATAAGAGGCTTTCTTTGCAAGGCTGAGTTATGGGAACATGCCACTGCAGATCAGACATGCACACACAGAGGCTAGTCCAGGAACTTGAGATCCTTTCAGGGACTGGCTGTTCCTAGGAAGACTCTGAACTAATGCCCATGCCACTTCCTACTTCAGCAGAAAAATCAGCATTGATATGGGAATTCCCTGCCAATCCTGAATCTTTTTGATTTTCCAAAGGCCTGAGAACCTACAAAGGCAGAGAAAAGGCTAAAGGAAATGTATCTGAGACAGGAAGCAAAAGAAAATGTGTCATGAGTGGGAGGAGAAAGTATCACAGGACCCAGAAAGGAGACCAAGTTCAGAAGTTATGGAAGGTATCAGTCCCCTTACATACGTATAGGCAGGAGTTAGCTTATAACTATTGTAAGCTTGATTCTCAGAGAGACTCACTAAGCAGCTACCTCATAGGCCAGTACCTTCCTGAACAGCAAAGAACAATTCCAGCCTCCATGCTACAACTATTGTTTCAGCCACAGAAACTACTATTTACAAATAGTCTCATATTTTCCAGTCTCATATATCTGACGCTGGTCCTCATCTTTTCTTTTTTTTTAAGACAAAGTCTCACTATGTAGTTCAGGCTGGCCTTGACCTCACTATTTAGCCCAGGCTGATCACAAACTTGCAGTGATCCTCCTGCCTCAGCCTTTCATATGCAGGGATTACTGGCTTCCTGGATTACACCCAGCTTCCTCACTTCTATTTAAATCTGTCCTTATTTCTCTAAGCCCCATAATGACTCTCTCTATATCCTTTCTTTTCTATGTACAAACAAACCACTGAGCAAAGTGCCAAGGAAGTCCTGGT